TGTGTGTGTGTGTGTGTGTGTGTGTGTACACAAATGCTGAAAACATGAGCCTTTGTGTAGGGGTCAAACAGAAGACAGGAGCCAATATTCCCAGAAACGGAGTGGTCAGATTTCCTTAAAAAATGTGCAGAGATTGTGTTTCTGGAGTTGAGGGCTCAAGTTAAAAGCAAACAAAATACCACAAAATATATAACAATTTGTTTTTTTGGAGGATTTGCGATTCTGAATTTGGATCCAGTTCTCTTAAATACACATTGAACCTCTCATAGGACATGACTCTTCAAGTTGAAATGTATTAATAGAAACCTCATTTATAGCTGTTCAAAGAATTGGATTGATCAGTGCTTTGCTTGTTACTTCTGACTTAACTCTGCAGGTGTAACTTGGCAATCAACAGAGATCCAAAGTAGAAAGACAGTTTCATGAAAAGAACCTGACCTCTCCAAGTGGTTGAAAAAAATTCGTGGGAATAAAGACTGGTTTATGCTGATGGATGTTTTTAGCAATGTCTTTTTTCGTACCTTGGACATAATTATTATGCCTAGGGGAAGATAGTTCCATGAAGCTGGGATGCCATGAGCGACCCGCTTGCTGGGCCCCAGGTTGATCCTGGGCCTGCTCTGGGTTGCTGAATGCGATCCTCCCAAGTGCTGCTGGAGATGCTGTTATTTTCCCGGGGCAGTGTGAGTTCTAGCTGGGAGAGAAATTAATGATCAGAGAGCAAACGTGGATCATTTGTCTGTGTTCCCCATTCTAAGCAGAGTATATGGTTGGGTGTACCAGGAAAGGCTTCTTGGAAAGGCGATTCCGTGAGTTGCTTTGATGCTAGGCAGCCTCGTCTGTCTGCTAGAAAGTAGGAGCTGATGGGAGCAGGAGAGGGATGGGGACACTCCAGGGACCAGGCGAGTCTGCCAGGAGCTTAGGGTGTGTGTGTTAGGGTAGGGCTGAGTGGGGACGTGTATATGTGCCAGATGGCTTTTATCTACTTGCCTTTAAAAAACACTACACTTTTTCCTCTTGAGGATCTTAGAAGCCAGTGCCGAGGACTGGGGAAGTTTGGTCATGAGGCTACTTATTTTAGTAATGGCCTAAGTTTCTTTCCTTCTGTTTTTCTTTCCTTCTTTTTTTTTTCTTCATAGAAATCTTAATTCCAGTTTCTTTCTTCATTCCCGCATTGTTTTCCCTTTAATCAAACTTTTGGTTGCTATTTTGAAGGAGGCATTGGGAACAGTGACAAAAGCAAGGCCCAGCCCCTCCTATGAACACAAGCACAGCTTAGTAGGAGACACAGGCTTCTGTGGGCATGTGTGGAGCCGGAGCCGTGCCTCATGGACCACACAGAAGGGCCAGCGCAGGCTTCCTGAGACCTCAGCTGAATCTTGAAAGATGAGTTCTATTTAGCTGTGTAAAAAAAAGCACAACTCCTCCAGAAGACACCATTCACACAGCCAGCCTCTCCGCCCCGCCCGAGAGGCTGCTGGGAATAATTGGAGCGGTGCTGCCAAAGACGTTTGTAGATCCTTCCCCTGCTGGAAAAAAAAGAAGACAACCGTTTTTTTGTTTTTTTAAATAAAAACATTTGCCAGAGATCATGGGTTTTGGCAGGTTGTGTTTTATAGGGTACAGCCTTTTAGTGTAAAATGAAGAACATGTCGAGTTCAGGTGTGTTTGTATAATTGAAGCACATTTTCATTGATTTAACACTATTAAATAGAATCGTGGGAAGAGTTCAGGCTTCCTTAGTGCCTGTTAGGGGAGAAATGCTGGGCTGGATACTTCACATTTGTTTTAACGTTTAGTTTTCACAGTGAGCCCCTGAGGTATTATTCTGTGCGCGTTATTGAGGAAGGAAGCAAAGCTCTGAGAATAAATTGCTCAGCTTCACATAAACAGCAAGTGGTCCACCTGGGGTTTGAACCCAGGTGGGTTTGACGCAGAAGCTTAGGAGTTTTCCATTGTATGAACCTGCCTTCCCTAGGGAAAAGAAAAGGTCTTGTTCTCAAATCAAATAAAAATTTACCTTGTCATTTGGAGACCTAATAATCACCTTAGGGTAGATGAGGGAGCCCAAAAAAGCCCAAAAAAGCAATCAGCATGAAAGCGAGAGAAACAAGAGAGATCCGACACACAGGTCACTGCACCGAGGCTCAGGCTTGCTCAGTGCTCCCACACCTCGGCATTAGCAGAGAGGGGAGAGGGGACCTGACAGCGAGCTCTCTGGGTTTCTTCTTTCATTTCTTTTTCTCTTTTGTAGTCTCAACTGTGGACATCACTCTGTTGTATAAAACCGCTGAGGAGCAAAATGGCTGGAAACACTATCCTGGTCTCTTGTCAGGCCTTGGATTTCGTCCCAGCGCCAGCACAAGCTGAGGGAATTTGGATCTGTCTGTGGGGGCCCAATTGCAAAATGACTACACACATATCTGGGACTTGGGTGTTTCTTCTTTGCCCAGAAGCAGCTTTCGTTTAACTGAAATTGCAGCTTAGTCCTAGAAAGAATAGAAGACATTTTGAAAAATCTGCCTGCTAACTTTTCAGTTTTAAGAATGTAAGTTTCGCAAGCGCTGGAACCTTGTCTGTCTGATTTGCTGCACATCCCCCCTGACCACAGTGGGCCTGGACGCTGAGGAGCTCAGTAGGAGTTGGAGAAACACGTAGTGACTGCACGCAGGGGACAGCTGGGAAAGCTCTCGTGCACGGAATTCTGACCTGCAGGCTCACCATCCCTGCGTCTGAAAGTCTGGTCCAGAATCATTTTCTGAGCTCTTATCATAGGTCATCAAAACGCTCACAGTAATAACAGTGTTGCTTTCATGGTTTGAACGTGCACCTGCCACATGCTGGCTTAGACTTCTTCCATAGCAGATCTCACTGTCTCAGTTTAACCATAGTCCTGCAAGACAGGTAATCCTGACACTCGTTCCCTTGCTAGGGAGGAAACTGAAGCTCCGAGAGATATTAAATACTTTCCCCCAAGGCCACACAACTGATAACAGATATATATATATATTTTTTTGGAGATGGCGTTTCGCTCTTGTCGCCCAGGCTGCGGTGCAATGGTGCGATCTTGGCTCACCACAACCTCCGCCTCTCGGGTTCAAGCGATTCTCCTGCCTCAGCCTCCTGAGTTGCTGGGATTACAGGCTTGCACTACCACACCCGGCTAATTTTGTATTTTTAGTAGAGACAGGGCTTCTCCATGTTGGTCAGACAGGTCTCGAACTCCTGACCTCAGGTGATCCGCCCACCTCAGTCTCCCAAAGTGTTGGGATTACAGGTGTGAGCCAGTGCGCCTGGCCTGGTAACAGATAGTCTTACTGAGAAAGTGGATTCTCTCAGACAGGATGTGCTGGCCTCTCTGCCTTCTCCTTCTTCCCTCCACATCCTCACTCTGCCTTTTGTTAAAATGGAAGCATCCTTCAGCAGGAGAAGGAACACTTTGGAAACGCCTTCCTTTGCTCATCTCCTCCTCCACCCGGTTCCCCACTCCCAGTCTCTCCCAGTCTCTCTGCTTCCCTTAGGGAGTCACAGCTGTCTCTGTCTGTCTGTCTGTCTGTCTATCTCTCTCTCTGGGCTCATCTCCCTCCATGGAGCCGTCTTCTCCCTCTCCTTGGAGACTGTGCTCTCCTGGTTTTCTGCCTGCTTTCCCATGCCTTCCAGCTCAGTATCTTTTACCAGCTTCTCTCCTTTAACTCTACTCCTTAACGCCAGTGGGCTCCGGGTCCTTCTCCCTGATCTCTGTTCTTCTCTGTCTTGCCATCTTCCCTGGTAAACTCATCCAGTCCAAGGCTGTGAGCATCATCTTTTTGCCAGTGGTTCCCAGTTTTCTAGCCCTGACTAGAAGTTTGCTATTGACTTCAAACTGGCTTCTTTCCACCCAGCCTATTTCTCTGTCCAGTCTTCCTCTGAGTAAATAGTACCACCCGGTTGCTAAGAATCCAGGAGTCACCTTGGAGTCAGCTCTTTCCTTCAAGCCCCGTGTCCAATCCAGCTGGGCCTGGCGATTCTCCCTCGGGTACCTCCTGACTCCCTTTCCTTCCTTCCGTCTTCACTGTGGTCACTCCAGCCCCTGCTGCCGCCTGCACAGCTACAGCAACGGCCTCTCACGGATTTCCCTATGCTTTTTTGTTGTTGTTCCTGTATAATTATTTCTTCTCACAGCAACTAGAGTGCTTTCTACAGCCTTTTAACAATTGAGTGCTGGTTATGCTTTAGGCCCCGTCTTGGCGCATTTAACCTTCAGAAGGTAGGCACTATTGCACCTGCACTTTTCAGATGAGGAAGCTGAAGCACAGAGCAGTTAATTGATTTGTTCAAGGTTAAAGCCAGGATGAATCCCAGGTGGCAGGTCCTAGTCAGTGCTGTTGAATCCAGTCCCTCCTTTCCTTGAAATGCTCCCAGGGCCTGTCTTCTCCTGGGCCTGAAGGCTCCTCCTGGCCTCCCGCCTCATCTCCTACCACATTCTCTCTCTCTCCTCCTGCCAGTTTGCACTCTGGGTTATTCCCAGACTCTTCACATCCACCGCAGGGCTTTTTCACCAGCTGTTCCTGCTGCCCAGAGCCCTTCCCCACCGCTTGTTCACAGGCTGGACCCTTCAATGTCATTGCATAAGGCCCCCCGGTCTCTTGATTTAAAGTAACCACCCACCATCTTGTATTCTTGGTGGCACTTACTGCTGCCTCATGTTGCCATCATTCTTTTGGTGACCCTTATTTTTCATGGTGATAAATAAATTACATGGAATGAAACTCCACACCAGCAGGAAACATAGATGCATGTTCCACGCCCTGTGTCGGTGCCAGCGTTGATAGACTTTGGGTGAATGAATGCGTGGGTAACTGAACAAATGCATACCTAGCGTCCTGGAACTCAGAGCCGGGTGCTTTGAGCCCATCAGTTCCCCTACCGTGCCCTGTGGCTCTGTGTGTACAACTCACAGTTCAAGCTTTTAAGTGTCTCTGCCCTTGGTCATACTCACAAAGTGTCTCTGCTTTTTATAGGTGATCAAAGAAGCCTATAGTGGTTGTAGTGGCCCTGTGGATTCAGAGTGTCCTCCTCCACCGAGCTCCCCAGTGCACAAGGCAGAACTGGAGAAGGTAAGGGCATTGCTCTTGCTGGGTGGGTACAGTGACCTCGCAGTGGATTGGGGTCTCCTTCAGAGTTTGATAACATTCTCTGAGAATTTCAGCACTTCCACTTAAAAAAGAAAGAAAGAAAGAAAAAAATGCAATTTTGCTTCCCATATTCGTAACTGCCTGCTTTGTGTAAGCTTGAATTAGTTGTTTTACAGACTGTGTAGTTAGTATTGTTATTCCCAGCTACAGGTGAAGAAATGGATTTAAAGGCATGAGGGCCTTGTTCAAAGTCACATAGCTAGTAAATGGCAGAGCTGAAGTCTGAAGGCATTCCTGTCTACTTCTGGAATACAGCAGGTGCTTCATAAATGTACCTTCACAAAGGTCTCTTCCCAGCAGACCAGGATGTGTCTCCATCTCCCTTTGCTTTGCACTCTTGTTGCTTGTTGGAAGGCAGAGGAGCACCGCCGTGGGCGGGAATGACCTGTCATCTGTACACCTCTTTTTGCCAGAAATGTATGGAGCCCATCACCGTTATGCCACAGGCCCTGCTCTGCTTGCACTTTGTTTGTCTAAATCTAACTGATATTGTTTCCTTGGAGAACCCTGACTTCCTGCCATGAAACCTTCTGTTGGCAGCTTGTGTTCCCGGGGCTTTCTGAGCCCTCCCTCTCTAGCCTCCTACCAGTGAAGAGACAGATCCCTTCTTGCCTGTCCTCATATGAGTCAGGATTCTCCAGAGGAACAGAATTAATGGGATGTATGTACGTAGAAGCATATTTCTTAGAAGGCATTGGTTCACGTAATGATGGAGGCTGCAAGTCTGAAACCTGCAGTGTGGCCCACAGGTGGAGACCCAGGAGAGCCGATGGTGCAGGTGAAGTGTGAAGGCGTCCACAGGAATTTAGGGAGATTTCACTGGCTCAGGGAGGATAGTGTTTTTGTTCCATTGAGGGCCCCAACTGATTGGATGAGGCCCACCCACATTACAGAGGGCAGGCTGCTTACTCAGAGCTCCCTAATTTAAACGTTAATCTAATCCCCAGATGCCCCCCACACTGACACATAAAATTAAACATCACAGTCCTCATCCTCACACCGTAATGGAACAGGCTGTTTTTTCCCCTGACTATAAAACCAATATCTGCTCACTTTAGAAAATTCAGAAAGCTCATAGAAACATAAACGGGATGAAAAAAGTCACTCATTACAACCGCACATAGAGGATACAGCTCCTCTTAACACTACTGATATATTAACCACTCTTTCCTGAGTTCAAGGGTTTCTCTTATGGCTTGGATAAGCTTATGTGTAAAATTTCTTATACTGCTTTTTTTTCCACTGAACCTTTATATTATTAGAAAATTTCCAGGTTTTTAACAACTCTTAAGCCACAAGCGTTTTTACATTTTCACATTATCATTAGCTTTAATGTCAAATTTGTATGACTCCACTATCACTTAGGTAACTGCCCCCCAGTACGTGTTTTGTCTTTTTTTAAAAATTATTTTGTGAAATGGAGTTTTGTTCTTGTCACCCAGGCTGGAGTGCAATGGTGCGATCCTGGCTCACTGCAACCTCCATCTCCTGGGTTCAAGCGATTCTCCTCTCTGAGTAGCTAGGATTACAGGCACACACCACCAAGCCCAGCTAATTTTTGTATTTTTAGTAGAGATGGGGTTTCACCATGTTGGTCAGGCTGGTCTCGAATTCCTGACCTCGTGATCCACCCACCTCGGCCTCCCAAAGTGTTGGGATTACAGGCGTGAGCCACCGCACCTGGCCCGTTTTGCCCTTTTTTAGGCCATCTAAAATAAAATAGTACTTGACATATTTTGCATAATTTTTGCTGATTCTCTGCCTATTACCTGAGAATAGATTTCTGGAAGCTGAATTACTAGACCAAAGGATAGACCTCTTTTTCTTTTTTAAGATTTTGATTCATATTGAAAATCAAATTGCTTTCCCAAAAGGTTGATGCGATTTCATTTCCCATCAGACTGCATCCAAGTTCCTCATCCACACACTCACACCAGAATTGGCAATTCCGTTTTACTCATGTTGGTTTTTAAGGCAGTACCGTGAGCACTTGGCTAGACCTGTTGCCCTGGATTCCCCGGGCTGTTCCTGGTGTGAGAGCCAGGGCGGTACCAGCTCTAGGTCATTGTATCCCTGGAACTCAGCTTCCCACTAAGTGGCACTCATTCCTTCACTGCAGCTCTTAGGGGATTGCCCCTCGAATTCCAGGTTGAACACATGTGTTCCTTTGTGCCTGGGAACTGCCCACACATCTCAAACGTGTCCCAGTCTCCCAGGCCCCCAGGCCCTGGTGGAAGGCACGGGATATGAGGACAGTGTTTGGACGCCACTCCCTCCACTGTGACCCCACAGGTTCTTGGGTGGCAATGGAAGGGGTCTAGCTGTAAACACTCTACCTCATTCAGAAACTAACGTGGAATCCTAATTACGCTCATTAAAGCCAGAGGTTAGGACTGAGATAGTGACAGTACTACCCCATCTGCCTCCAAGGGTTTTGATGGTAACCTTGCCTTCACTCTGTGTACATTCTGAGTGTATTTGTTACAAGCACGTACTAGACACTCACCCAATTAATTATTAGTGAATGACAGGAAGAAATTAAATGGACTATGGAATATTTACTTCTGCAAGGATAATATGGCTTGGTGAGGGAAATATTTTTTTGTAATCATAATATTTTTTCAAAATCATTTACAAGAAGTGATTCGAATGAAATAGGCATGAGACAGTATATATATATAGGTTAGTATAATTATAGCCTCAGTGAGGTTCCCCCCCGACCCTCCCTCCCCACTCTGGATGTTTTTAAAGCGGCTATAGCCACCTAACCAGCCAGTCTTTGTTATAGTTAAGCTCTAACTACTTCTGGATTGCTATGAATTCGGCCCATGTTTTCTTTCACTTTCGAGATAACTTTTGGTTGATCCATCACACATCACTTGGTCCAAGTGACCACTGTAAGAATAACTTAATCCTTTTTCTCCTTACAGAAACTGTCTTCAGAGAGACCCAGCTCAGATGGGGAGGGCGTGGTAGAAAATGGAATTACCACATGTAATGGAAAGGAGCAAGGTAAGTTCCGCTTGTGCCAAAGATATATACACTTAAAAAAAAAACCCACAGCCAGGTCTATAAAGTCCGATTGTACGAAACATGTGCTGGGTGATTCAGATGTGTAGATATCATCACCACTGCTGAGGATACCGACGGGAGTGCCTGGAAAACCCTTTGGTTAACATCAACCCTGCAGGTCTTCCTTTTCCATCCTGCCAGACCTTGGCCGAGGTTGCCATCTGTTGTCTTTTTCTGCCCTGCATATGTTTCGAACTTATGACTCCCAGCTGGTTATTTCTTCACTCGATCTATCACTGAGACAAATTTGCATTGGTGAACCGCTGGCGTGTTGCTTAGGGACCTGGTGTCCAGTGAAAAGAACTTTGGATAATGAGGCAAGAAACCCACTTTCTCATTCAAGCTCTGCCTTTGCTTAGCCCCATGATCTTGAGCAAGTACTCCCTCTTGATGAGCCTCAGTTTCCCCATCTTTAAAATGAGGAGGCCAGACCTGCAGATTTCTGAGATTCTTAAAATAGATTTTCTGAAAATGTCTTTATTTTGCCTTCATTTGAAACATTTTTAAAAAGTACATAATATAAAATACACCATATTAACCATGTCACAGCGTACAGTTCAGTGTGTTAAGTATATTTACGTTGTACTGTCATCACTGCCGTCAGTCTCCAGAACTCTTTTCATCTTGCGAGAGTGAAGCTCTGTCCCCTTTAAACACTGACTCCCCGTTCCCTCCCCCAACCCCTGGCACCCCCATTCTGCTTCCCGTCTCATGAATCTGACTCCTCTAGGGACCTCATCGAAGTGGAGTCCTGCAGGCCATGTCCTTCTGTAAGGGCTTATTCCACTTAGTTCCATGTGCTCAGGGTTCATCTGTAATGTGGCCTGGGTCAGAATTTCTTTCCTTTTTAAGGCTGCATAATATTCCATTGGATGGATGGACCACATTTTGTTTTCCCATTTATCTGTTGATGAATACGTGGGCGGCTTCCACCTTTTGGCTAGTGTGAATAATGCTGCCGTGAACGTGGGTGTGCAAATAACGAAGCCTCGATTTCTCTAGAGATAGAAATTAAATGCCGTAAAATTCACCCTGTGTGGCATACTGTTGGTGAGTTTTGACGAACGCTGGCAGGCACGTAACCATCACCACAATCAAGATCTGCAGATATTAGAGCATGGCTCTAACCCCGCAGCCCCCACCATGTTCCCTCTGCTCTTTCTCTTCCGTCTGCCTCTGCCTCTGCCTCTGCCTCAGGCCCTGGCAGCTGCTGATCCATTTCCTGTCCTTTACCAGAACGTCATAACGTGGAAGCATCTCGTTTGCAGACTTCTGAGTGTGGTGTCTTTCACTCAGCTGCATTGGAGAGTCGTCCGTGTCACTGGTGTCCGTCGTTGGTTCTTTGCTGCTGCTGGCGGCATTATGTTGTGTGGAAGGACCACAGTCAGCCCATTCACTGCTTGAAGAACATTTGAGCTGTTTCCACTTTGGGGCGATTGTTTAAAAAAATCTGTTCTGTGCATTCAGAGACATATGGACATATGTTTGCGTGGACATATGTTTTCATTTTCCTTGGGTAAATACCTAGGAGTGGATTGTTTGGTCATAGCCTTCTCTCCAGCCTCGGTATTGTCACTTTTGTTTTGTTCTTTCTATTTGAGCCATTTTAATAGGGGTGTAGTGTATGCAGTTGTGTTTTAATTTGCATTTCCCTAATAACTAACAATGTTGAACATTTTTTAATATGCTTATGTGCCATCAGGGTATCCTCTTTGGTGAAATGTCTCTGGATCTTTTGCTCATATTTTTATTGGATTATTCGTGCTTATTGAGTTTTGAGAGTTCATTGTATTTTCTGAATACAAGTCCTTTATCAGATATGTTCTGTATATATATTCTCCCAATCTGTGACTGGACTTTAATTTCCGTAGCAGTGTGTGGACTGAGGTGAAGGGCAGGACTTGTGGTGGGAACGGAGAGCTCCCTCTGCAAAGCCAGACTGCCTGTGTGCTCATTGAACCTGTGACCTTGGCTGCTCAGCTGAGTAATCCGACTACCTGGGCCCACCTGCCCACTCCTGGAGGGAGCCAAGTCTTTCCCGTCTGTGGTGAAGTCACCTTAAACCAAGGAGCAATCCAGCCCACTGAGAGTCTCGGAGCTCAGAGAATCGGGACGGTTATGACATTACAAAGTTCACTCTCAGAGGTCACGATACCCACTTTTTCCATATGTGGTTTTTTGAGTCTGTCCTATCTGAGTGTAATTTTGGTTCTGTCCATCGGAAGTTATTCAGTGGAAAGTATTATCTGTGTCTTCCACAGGGCACACATTATGTGTAATCAAAACCAGGAATGCTATCTTTAAGTTTTGCCCTGAAATAAAATCACATACAATCTCAATGTTCCTGCTTAGAAGCTGAGGCGCAGCAGACGTTGGTTTGGTTGGTTCATTTTCTGGTTTGCTATTTCTTCTCCCAATGCACCTATTAGGTTCTACAGAATAATATGTGTGTCTGGATGCACTTTTGAGCAAGTATATCTATATTTAAAATTCTCCTGTTTCCTCTTAACAAGAACAACCTTCTATACTTTGGAATTAAATGGTGGTGACCTTGGTTTACACATTTTCTTTTTGTCTGGCATGGTGCTTTGCAGATACAGACACTCAGTAGTTACTGGAGAAAGTTAAGGCTGAAGTACATTCTAACCTTCTCTCTTAGCTTTTGTCCTTGCCTCTCACTCTTGACCAATTTGCAACTGAGAGATTTCAGTTAAGCTCCTTTATCCCAGCTATATGGTAACTCAGCCACATTTCTCTGCGGGCTGCATAGAGAAAATCCTGAACTCATACAGGTTTTTCTTAGTGTTAGAATCTCAGATGAAGAAAGAGACAGTCCAGGCTCCATGCAGTCAAAGCCACAGGGAGTGACTCTGGAACGCCTGTTTCTTCCCTCAGGGCGGAATCCCCCCTGTCTGATAAACTGACACAGTACGGTTGGTCCTGCAGCAGGTGCGAGGAGTGCGGGCTCAGGAGGTCCTGGGACCTTCTGTCTGGGAGCTGTGAGGCTTCTCAGCCCCACTTCACATCTGTAAGACGTGATCATTTGTGAATGTGTCTGTTGGTAGAAGTCACTGAGTACAAAGTCTGATGGTATTAATTCTCATGCCCCTATTCCTCCCGGTAGCCTAAATAATAAAAAGCGCCTGGATTCCCATTTCCGTCGGTTACTGGGAGACTCTCTGGGTTTATGATACCTGTGGTTTTAGAGACTGCGCCACGTTAGCCTTGCTCCAGTGGCCTGTGCCAGTGTGCCCACCTCACTGGCCAGTGTGTGCCCGGACTCTCCAGCTCTTCTACTCTCTGGCGGCAGAGGGTTGAGCGTTCTGCGTGTTGAGGTTTTCTTCCCGGTTCTGTGATCTGTGCTCATCTCTGCCTTTTGTTTGATACGTAGCAACAAGTAGTTCTTGATGCTTTTCTCCTCATGTTCCCATGTACTTGGACTTTTTCTCCCCAGGATTACCGTACGTCTGCCTTTGTAAAAAACGAATCAGGGAGTATACAAGGAATTCCCAGTTTTAATTATAATCTCATTTCTTTGTAGTCAGAGTCGAGCAAACACTTTGTCGGTCGAGTTGGGCGTTCATCTGACACCCCAGCTCGCCACGATGGGCCGCATTGTGGGGGGGGGTGGCGCATTGTCAGGGGGGCCGCATTGTGGGGGGCCCGCATTGTCAGGAGGAGGGGGGATGCCTCTTGCTCCACCAGCCTTGCTCAGGGTGCCCCGGGCACTCGGGCTGTCCTGGCAGCAGGTTATTCTTTGTGAAGCTCACGGGAATGGGGCTGTGGTGAAACATTGTCTTCTGGGTCTTCAGAAACAGCTGGGAGGGGCCGTCCACTGTTGCTGTGGCTCTTGGTTTGGTTGAAGTGACACTGAAGTGGTAACAGCTGTCCCAGCCGCACGCTCCCTGTCTGATGGTAGCTGGGAGGAGCGGCGTCCTCAGGCTCAGGGATCGAAAGCGAGTCTCGGCGCTTTGCTTTATTTTAAAACAGGGTGTGTACGTGTTGGGAGAGTGGAAGGAGGGGTGGGGGTGGCATTCCCGGGTTCTTTGTTTCTAATATCACATGAGGCCTAAGTCTGATTTGTTTAAAATAACACAGAAATGCTGGGCCTGTGTTGTTAGTCAGTTTGGGCTGCGATCACAGAATACCACAGACTGGGTGGCTGAAACAACATGCGTTCAGATGGTCCTGGAGGCTGCACGTCCAAGACCCAGGTGTCGCCAGGGTTGGTGCCTGGTGAGGGCTGTCTTCTCCCACGGCCTTCACACAGCCTTTCTTCTGTGCCGTGCAGTCTCTTCTTATCTTCTGTGCCGTGCAGTCTCTTCTTATCTTCTGTGCCGTGCAGTCTCTTCTTATCTTCTGTGCCCGGTGGTCTTCTTATCTTCTGTGCCGTGCAGTCTCTTCTTATCTTCTGTGCCGTGCAGTCTCTATATAGAAGAAGGAGGGCCTTCAACGCTGTGGGACACTCTTCTTATCTTCTGTGCCGTGCAGTCTCTTCTTATCTTCTGTGCCGTGCAGTCTCCTCTTAGAAGGACGCTAACGCTGTGGGACCAGGACCTGAGCGGGAGGGTGCAGCATGGGAGGGCAAGGCCCGGGGCAGGAGACACAGGGGTATGTTCTGCCGCCCTCATGTGTTTGGCTGTGGTGGGGCAGCGGGGTGGAGGTGGAAGGAGGACCACTGCCCGTTCCCCAGCAGAGAGAGACGGAGATTGGGAAGGATGAGGGGACTGCCTGTGTGAGTGTGTGTGTCTTTAGAGGAAGGGTTTAGGAGTTAGGCCAAGGTGTGTCGTCTGTGTCCCTGGCCGCTCTTCCTCTGCATTTCTCCCGCGGGATGTGTGTGGGTTCATTTGTCCCTGGGGTAGGAGGGTGGGAAGGAGTCCTTGACTCTCATCACCTTCTGAAAGGGTTTGTGATCTCCAAAGGATTACAGACAGTAGGTTGAGGGATTCATGTTGGAGATGAAGGGGAAAGGGTCTGGGCGCTGGGGTTTTGCCTGTGACACTGAGGGTCTCTCTGTCCCCTCAGCTCCAGTGAGCCCTGCAGTGCAGCTGAGTGCCAAGTGTCTCACTGACCTCCCCTGAGCTCCAGTGCCGTGCACATAATGGCCCTCAGATGAGACGGGCAGACAGCTCACCTTCTCCGAGGGTCGCTCTCTGGCCAAAGAGTCTTGTCACTCAGTTCTGGTGCTGTCTCACATGCACGTTCTGGTTTCTTGTCTGATCCCTGCCCCTGTGATTCTGTCGGAGGTCACGGACAGAGCCCTCGGCAGTGGAGAGAGGTGCCAGTGATGGGATGGGGCAGACAAAGGATGCCAGCTGGCAGCCGACCCTGGACCTCCGTGGTGGGAGACGGTGGGGAGTGATGAGAACCGCCCCGTGTTGTGCCTTGCTGGCCCATCTGCGTGGAGACTGCTTCTGTGGTCCTGCCGCTGTTGCTTGCCCACATGCAAGTCCAGCGTTGCTAGATCTTTCCATCTTTCAAAGGAAGCCAGGCATCAATTTTATGCAGAATGTGTATGAGTTTTATACATGAGGGGCTGGAAGGCAGGCCCCTGGTCTGAGAGCTCTGGACGGTGCCGAGCTGACTGAGTGTCTCACAGATAGACGAGGGGCTCCTGAAGAAGAACCAATCCCCTTCCCTTCCTGGGCCTCCCCTTGCCAGCCAGGCCGGAGCTGCACTAGCTGCCTTCTGTTCCTCAGACACTTGGGGCTGGCTTTTGCGTCAATGATGTTTTTCTTGCCTGGACGGTTCTTCTCTCTGAGATGTGCATGGCTAGTTATTAATTTAAGTCAACCCCTGGACAGGCTTTCTCTGCCTGCCCAGCTGCTCTTCCACATAACCCTATCTTAGATCTCCATGTGGTCTTTGTTACAAGCTTTCTACCAGCAGCCCTGTGTTCTGCTGGAATCTCAGCATCTAGACCGACAGCCAGCACACGGCAAGTGCTCGTTAAGTACAAGTTGAGGGAAAGCCTAAGTGCAGTGGCTCACACCTATAATCCCAGCACTTGGGGAGGCCAAGGTGTGTGGATCATTTGAGCCCGGGAGTTTGAGACCAGCCTGGGCAACATGGCGAAACCCCATTTCTACAAAAAGTACAAAAATTAACCAGGCGTGGTGCCACTCACCTGTGGTCCCAGCTACTCCCAAGGCCAAGATGGGAGGATCAGTTGTGCCCAGGAGCTCAAGGCTGTGATGAGCTGTGATCACAACACAGCACTCCAGCCAGGGGACAGAGTGAGACCCTGTCTTTAAAACAAGAAAAAAATGCCCAGGGAAAGAAGAAATGGGTTGTGATTTATGTTTTATTTTTTCAATTAATATCTACAATTAAAACATGCTTTTTTGCTGTTGTTATTCTCGACAGTGAAGAGGAAGAAAAGTTCCAAATCCGAGGCCAAGGGCACTGTGTCGAAAGTCACTGGGAAAAAAATCACCAAGATCATCAGTCTGGGAAAGAAGAAGCCATCCACAGACGAGCAGACCTCGTCGGCTGAGGAAGATGTTCCCACGTGCGGTAAGACTGTGCTTCCCAGAGACGAGCAGTGTGCACCCAAGCAGGTTTCCTTTTCTCCTGCAGTGTCGATACCCAGTTCCTCCAAGGCTCATTAATTGGAGCTCTTTTGCATTGGACTTGAAATCGGAAAAAATTCAAATTTCAGTGTATTCAATGTATTCAATGTTTGCATTTTTACCTCTTATTCATACAAGACTTTGTAGGCGTTTGAGATGATCTCTAAGGTTCTTTCAAGGAAAGCAAATATTTCCCTTTGATCCTCTGAAGTTCCCCCAAATCCCCTGGAAGTGTTTTTAAAGGACAACATACGCAGGGGCTGCTGGTAAACAAAGGATTATGGGAAAACCTTTACAGAACTAAGGCCAGTCCTTTCCCTTGGGCAAAGTGATAAAACTAAGCTTCTTTATGACGTCACCAAGTTAGTCACTTTCCTGTTGCTGCCAAAGGAATGCCTGAGGCTGGGTAATTTATAAAGAGAGAGGTTTATCCGGCTCATGGTTCTGCAGGCTGTACAAGTATGGTGCCAGTGTCTGCACGGCTTGCGATGAGACCTCAGGAAGCTTTTACTCATGGCAGGGGCAGAGGCGACGCTGGTGTGTCACATGGCAGGAGAGAGAGGAGCAGGTGCCAGGATCCTTTAAACCATCAGATCTCGCAGGAACTACTGGTTTGAGAACTCCCTCATGACTACAGGGAAGGCAGCAAACCATTCATGCAGGATCCGCTGCCATGGTCCAAGCACCTCCCACCAGGCCGGCCCCCCACACTGGGGATCACATTTCAACATGAGATTTGGAGGGGAGAAATATCCAAACTATACCAATTACATTTCTCAAACCGAAGTTTCAAATCCAGTCTAACACACTGACCATCTCCCCGGTCCGTCTTTCATCCAATAAGTAAGATTTGAGCAGCTGCCTTTTGGTGACCACAACAGCCCTGGCCCCCCATGGCTTCCAGTCTGATAGCAAAAGATAAGTACAAGACCGGTTATCACAGAAACGTGTGTAATAACTGGCTCTGGTCAGCGATAGGAGGGAAAACCCAAGAGGCCATGAGAGGATCATAGGAACCTCAGTGGGCCAGGGGGAGCCAGCATTGTGGGGTGGTCTCCATGAAGACATGGGTGAGAGTTTCCATCCAGAATGCTTTCTAGACTGTCAGGTTCAGAAGAACCGTGCAGCTCTTCCTAGAAGGTGAACTTGATGAGCTACGTTTTTGAAGAATTAGGAATGTACCGACATTTTCCTTGTGTACTATTGCAGCTCACTCAGCTCCCCGCAGTGTGAGCCCATCATTCCTTCTATTTGAATAGTCATTCTAGTCACCCCCACCCCTTATCGAGCACCCGTTACGTCCAACGTGTTGGGTTTTATTTTGAGATGCCAAAAGATACCTCGTTCAGTTCCTGCCCCACAGCGCCTAAATGGCGCTGTACACACAAATGTATTCAACAGATCTCACGTCCCAGCGGTGTGAGCTCATGCTACGAGGATAGTACAGAGGGTGGGCCACGGTGGTCGGGAGGAGGAATGGATTGCAGGGGCAGATGAGAGGCGCTGCAGCGTGCACTGTCTTGAAGGAAAGATGGGCATAGTCTCCACTCCTCAGCAGCTTTCACAGTGTGAGCCAGGAAGTTCATGATACCGATTTCTGGGGGACACAGCGAAATTGTCTGGGCAGACAGCAGTGAAGGCCTCATGTGCTTGAAGGAGTCTTGCAGAGGGGTCCTGTTGAAACAGCTGCCTATGGGGTTGAGTTAGGAGGGAAGGCCATCACCATAAGGGAACCCGTGACCGAGGAGCCTGGCACATTCCAAGCTCCCTGAACTTGGTCAAATGGCAGTTGAGTCACAGAAGCAGGCCAGTTGGTACTGATGTTTTTCTACTACCCTCCCTTCCCTCCCTAAATAAGGCGAGAGCTGAAAGGGCAGCCACCCTGCTGAAATGCTGTCAGAGGAAACAGCTGTAGCACGGAATGGGGCGAGGGAATGTGTTGGTGCCCCAGTGCCGAGCCCCGTTGGCCTCTGCCTTTCTTGGAGCGCATGCAAGGTGGGACTGCCTCACATCAGCCCTTGAGAGTCAGCGATTAAAAACAGAAAGTGGGAATTAGGGATTAAATACAGGAGTTAGGGATTAAAAATAGAAATGGGGAATTAGGGATTAAGTACAGGAGTTAGGGATCAAAAACAGAAAGCGGGAATTAGGGATTAAGTACAGGAGTTAGGGATTAAAAACAGAAAGCGGGAATTAGGGATTAAGTACAGGAGTTAGGGATTAAAAACAGAAAGCGGGAATTAGGGATTAAATACAGGAGTTAGGGATTAAAAACAGAAAGCAGGAATTAGGGATTAAGTACAGGAGTTAGGGATTAAAAATAGCGGGAATTAGGGATTAAGTACAGGAATTAGGGATTAAAAATAGAAAGTGGGAATTAGCCGACAAGAAGGGAACTATTCTTTTTTTTTTTTAATGCTGTAGGTCAGTGGAGGAAATAGAAATTCTTCCTTGTAAAACAATTAAACATTAACATGAAAGGCAATTGCGAGACGTTGGCCCACACCCCACCATTTACGAAGGAGAGCACTGAAGCTCAGAGAGCTCGTGTGGCTTGCTCGGAGCCACACAGCACGCTAGGAGCAGAGACAGCCTCTGACCCAACTCTGCTAGTTCCCCGTCCCACAGGCCTTCCCCTATCCCTTCCCCCAAAGATCTGAACCCTCCCGTGGCTCCTGATAAATAGCTGCGATTGTGCTCGTGATTAGACGCTGCGGTAAACCCTCCTCCTGGGCACTTTCTTGGAAGCCCAGTTGGTCACTCAGGGAGCAGCAGGAATACTGGATCCATAGCATCTCATTAGACACATGGATTCCTATCAAACTGCTTAGTGGACGACTTTTGCTTCAATATTAACAGAACATCCTCTGTCCACAAGATTTTAAAGCTGTCATCCAGTTCTTTGCAGGGGAAAGGGGAGAGGGGAGGAGCTCTTACAAAAATAAAGGGGCAACAGTGACCATTTTCAGTTATTTTAGTACAGCTGCAAAGTTTCAGGCAGAAAAAAGGAGCTGGACAAAGGCCCGAGAGACTGAGCCTGCCAAGCTGAGTCTCTGCAGCTGCTGCTCTCTGCTCCAGGGAGTGAAGGGCCAAGCTGGACTGGCCGGAAGTGCAGTGCTGCTGAGCCCACAGGACAGAGCTCCCGGGAGCCACTGAAAGCGGAGTTCAAATCCCAGCCCCTCCACACAGTGCAGCTGGGTCAGCCGTGCCCCAAAATGCAGGAGCTGCTGTGAGGGCCTTGCTTGTGGAGGCAGGGGAGGGAAGGCCCTCTGCAGGTGCTTGCCAGCTGGAAAGGTTTTGGGGTGGTTTTGGGCCAAAGTCTCTCAATTGCCTTTCATATTAATATGACAAGGATTGCAGCCTGGCTGGCTGGGTCCGCCTGCCTAACCCTGCAATGCCTATTGAGTGGCGTTGAGTGACGCGTTTAGCATTGGGCAAGTCAGCTCAGCCCACAGCCACGGAAGTAATGTGATCTGAGACACGCGCAAAGGCCCCTGACCAAAATGTATCTCTTTTTTTTTTTTGAGACAGAGTCTTGCTCTGTCGCCCAGACTGGAGTGCAGTGGCGCGATCTCAGCTCACTGCAAGCTCCACCTCCCAGGTTCACGCCATTCTCCTGCCTTAGCCTCCCAAGTAGCTGGGACTACAGACACCTGCCACCACGCCCGGCTAATTTGTTGTATTTTAGTAGAGACGGGGTTTCACCATGTTAGTCAGGATGGTCTCGATCTCCTGACTCTTGAGCCACCCGCTTCGGCCTCCCAAAGAGCTGGGATTACAGGTGTGAGCCACTGCGCCCGGCCCCAAAATGTATCTCTTATTTGTCCTTCTCCTGTGCTTACAAGTCCTGGAATTATTGTCATTTTATGAATTAAGCTGTCGTTACCAGGAAATGCATTTCCATCTTTCTCTCTCTTCCCCATCCCTATTTCCGCCTGTGGCTGGGACTGTGGCATCTTTTGACTGGCTCACCTCGTTCTACTCTGCGTCCCCCACCAGACCACCAGATGGAAGTTTTGAAACGTTAAACTAATCGTATCACATTCTGTGTTGAGAAAAACCAAAAGTGCCTCCGTTGTTGCCAGTTCAGGGCCTCTAACAATGCCGTCCCCACTTCACTCTTCTACCTTCTACATGACTGGCGTAAGAACAGGGGCTGACTGGCTCACTGCCCGTGTCCACAGCACCATGCGGAGCTTGGCAGACGATATCAGCTCAGTACATACTTGTTGAATGCATGCATTCCTTTAAGCAAATTGCTTCACCTCTGGGAATCTCAGGCTCCTCCATCTATGAAATCACTCAATACTTCAATTCCTTGTTTTTCATAAAAACTGAGGATAAAATACATGAAACACTGAGCTCAGTGCCCAGCCCATCATTTATGCTCAGTACATGGTCACTGTGATTATCCATGTGTTCATCTGACATGTTTTTTTAAAAACATCACCTGAGCACACCGGACCTACCCAAGGCTCGGTAAATGCGACGTCAGACGAGTGAATCATGAGAAACGGAGAGGCTGAGAGAAAGGAAAGGCCACAGGGTGCAAGTTGGAGGCTTCCTGGAGCCTGGCTGTGTAGCCATTCCCAGGGTCCCTTTCACCTGAAATGTTCTGTGACTTTATGAAGCTCTTTCTTTTTTTTTTTTTTTTTTGAGACGGAGTCTCGCTCTGTCGCCCAGGCTGGAGTGCAGTGGCCCGATCTCAGCTCACTGCAAGCTCCGCCTCCCGGGTTCACGCCATTCTCCTGCCTCAGCCTCCCAAGTAGCTGGGACTACAGGCGCCCGCCACCTCGCCCGGCTAGTTTTTTGTATTTTTAAGTAGAGACGGGGTTTCACCGTGTTAGCCAGGATGGTCTCGATCTCCTGACCTCGTGATCTGCCCGTCTCGGCCTCCCAAAGTGCTGGGATTACAGGCTTGAGCTGCCGCGCCCGGCCTATGAAGCTCTTTCAATGGCAGGTTTTTTTCAGCAGACATTCAGGAAAGTTAGATACGTCTCAGTTGGTATCATAATCCACCTCCATGAAAACTAGACGAAGCCAGGCACCGTAGCACGCGGCTGGAATCCCCGCTACTCGGGAGGCCGAGGTGAGAGGATCGCTTGATGCCAGGAGTTTAAGACCAGCTTCAGCAACATAGCAAGGCCCCACCTTAACAAAAGAAATTAGACGAAGTCTGATAAAAGGGCAGGAAGGCATTCTTAGTCCAAGAGCCACCATGACAGGCTGTAGGTGTACCAGCTCCTCTGCCCCTGGCCTCGTAGAGGACACACTGCGAAGAGCAGGAAGGAGGCTTTGGTTTCAGCAGGCCCGTGATCAGCTGCCAGCAGTTTCCTGACATTTGGTTTCTCTAAAAGCTGCTTCTTGATGCCCCTCTTGCAGGCCCATCTCCTCCTGGCTGATCAAAAACAAATACTTGCCAAGATACAACGAACAGTTACATTGGGATGAAACGTCTCTCAAAAGTGTTGAACGTTTTGTCCACATGTAACCAAAGCACAGTAGCCCCTGGGGTGGGCAGGCACTATCATTTCCCTTCCTAAAGAGAATAAATCAATGGAAACTTGGCCACACTTCTAAAAGCCTTCGCCTGCCTGCTCTTCTGCAGCTGCCGGAATTTGAGAGCCACCTGGCACTGAGACCCGCGACGCCCCGTATCCGGAACAGCTGACCAGGAGGGTTTATATCTGTTCCCCTCCATCTGTATTTATTGTTTGTTTAATCTTCAGGCTGTAAAGTTAGTTTTATATTTTTAGTGAAATCTCCTCATGCACTCTTGCCACAGTGTTGCGAGAAACTGTGCTCTTTCCTTCGAATTTGGTGCAGAAATCAGCTGAAAACATTAAACTCACAGATTTTTAAAGTTCAGTAACACCCTACCATAGTATGGTAAGTGGGATTCAAAAATAAAATGACTTCTATCTGGACCTACCTTGTTAAGTAGTTGAATCTTAAGATGCCCTGGGTGAGCCTTGAAGCTCCCGCCTGCAGTTCTTGCTGCAGGAGCCAAGTTGGCCCCATCCTGGCTGCACTCTAGCACCACCTGGTGGTGGATGTTGCTCCAGTAAATATTCCTGGAGATGACGGGGTCCTAGGCAGCACTGATTTCATCAGCCAGGCTAATATTGGGGGGTCCAGAGGACCCCCTGACTCTAGACTCCTTAGATGAGGTTGTCTGCCATTTCCTGTGTGGCCTCTTCATGTTCCCTACCCAGAAAGTAGGAACTTTGGGCCTCCCTATTTTGAGAAATGGGGGCAGGGGGCTGGACTGGGTAGGAGCAGGGGGTTGGACCAGGTAGGGGCAGTCCCTGAACACAGGTGATGGTGGAGCCACCTGCTGCTGTGAACAAGTCTGTTATCTCAGGGGATTTTTTTTGGAGGGGAAATTTGGGGGCATTATAACAATTTCATATAAAGTCATGTTCTATATAAAATGTGATCTGTCCAATATAATCATCCCTTTTATGGCTGGAATGTCAAGAAATTCATAGTATCTGGTGGCTTTGGGCCAGATTCTGTCAGGGAAGGAGACACCATGAGAGTCCATGTTCCTCTTTGGGACCAGGTGCCCTGTGGCTGGGGATCGGGGCTGGGCCACCTGTGTTTGAGGATCGGGACCAGGCGCCCTGTGGTTGGGGATCGGGGCCGGGTCCCCTGTGGCTGGGGATCGGGGCCGGGCCACCTGTGGTTGGGAATTGCTGCCCCACTGCAGAGTCCATGCCCTCTTGGGGACTGGGTCCTCTGTGGTTGGGAATTGCTGCCCCGCTGCAGAGTCCGTGCCCTCTTGGGGACTGGGTCCTCTGTGGTTGGGAATCGGACTGGGTCCTCTGTGGTTGGGAATCGGACTGGGTCCTCTGTGGTTGGGAATTGCTGCCCCGCTGCACTGTACAGTCTCTGTCATTGAGGTCACTGGCATTTCAATTCTCGGTTTCTTCCACTCCTTCTCCGGGCCCCGTGGAGGGGTGCCTGGGCCCTGACCACACCAGAGCACGGGCTGTTTTCCTTGCTCTGTAGCTTACTACTCCTTTTCAGAAACCGTTTTGGGGCATGTTATCTTAATGCACTCAGTATGCGAAGTGATTTGAGGGGAATCCTTGCTCCCTTTTCCTTTTAGATACACCTTTACGTTTGTCAACTCATGCTCAAAACATACTTATGACAGTTGGCTGTCATTGTGTGAAAGTCTAAAAATGTAAAAATGTTGGCTTTCAGCATGAGTGGTTACTCTAGATGGTATCAGAGCCATGGCGAGCACGTGGTTCCCAGCGCTGGCACTCGGATGCTCAGATATGATAGTTGACCTCTCTTTAAGTAGAGGTTTCTTTTTTCTTTTTAAAGAATAAATGTATTGGCCGGTAATCCCAGCACTTTGGGAGGCCAAGGCGGGCGGATCACAAAGTCAGGAGATCGAGACCATCCTGGCTAACACGGTGAAACCCCGTCTCTACTAAAAATACAGAAAATTAGCTGGGCGTGGTGGCGGGCGCCTGTAGTCCCAGCTATTCAGGAGGCGGAGGCAGGAGAAGGGCCTGAACCCGGGAGGCGGAGCTTGCAGTGAGCCGAGATGGCACCACTGCACTCCAGCCTGGGCGACAGAGTGAGACTCCGTCTCAAAAAAAAAAGAAAAGAAAGAATAAATGTATTGAAACTGTGTCATTTACAAATAGCATTTTACAGAGCAAAAATAGTGATATAAGGCCTCCCATTGTATGCCTATTAACAGCTCTTTATCTGCCGTCTTTGACTCCCAACAGGGGTTCAGGTCTGGCTTTGCTGTGTGATCTTGGACAAGATACTTCACATTATCTGGGAGTTAACATCCTCCTTCAAGAAGTAAAGCCTCTGAGACTCTTTCCTACTTTGATTCTAGAGCCTGTTCACCTCCCTGCAGCCCTAAGTGTCCGAAGTACAAGGAGCTTGGATCGAGTGTAGTTTGCTCTCTGAACACAAGAGGGCGGCCACGGCACAGGCCTTGGAGCCTCAGCCTGGCGCCTCCTTTCTCTGTCACTCCCTAAGGACAGCAGCCCACACACCCCAGATGAAAGTTTTAGTTGCAGAAGAAGCAGTGTGCATTTCTCTTCAGTGTGTGTTGGTAGAAATGATGTCACATTCAGCCAATGAAAATTTAGACTTTATAAGTGTGTACCTAGTAAGCCACTGAACCAATATTTGTAAGTTATAAAGCATCATTCTGAGTCCTGAACATACCTCTCTCTCTTTTTTTTTTTTGGTCTTTATAGCATTTATCCATTGCTAATAAGGTGTGTAAGACTGAGAACATAAAAGCAGTAAGAAACATCCTCCAAAACCCTTTTGGAAAGGCATTTTAATTGATTTTTTTTTTTCTTTTTCTTTTTCTTTTTTTTTTTTTTTAGCAACAGGGTCTTACTGTGTTGCCCAGGCTGATCTTGAACTCCTAATCTCAGGTGATCTTACTACCCTGGCCTCACAAGTAGCTGGGACTACTATTGGCTGGAAAAGGAATCTAAAAAATCAGAATTGGAAAGGATGTATCTTGTTTTGTTTCTTAACGTTTTTGAGGCAGGGGTGTGTGTGTGTGTGCATGTGTGAACTAAAGGAGTAGCTGAACTTCAGTTGGGAGTCTGGTACTTCCTTTTCTCCCACTATCAACATTTTATATGCTATTTAACTCGCTTTCTAAATCTTAAAGGGGGCAGTGATTTACTAGCAATATGGTGTGGTCGGAAGCCACCTGATATCTATTTTTTCATGCCTTGTTATTTCTAGAAGAATCCATTTTATGTTTGTAACAAGTGAAAATGGTCCATTTCCTGTATTTGAGAAGGTTTTTTTTTTTTTTTTTTTTTTAAATGAGGATAATAATTTTTCCTGTCACTCTGCCACTCCTGTCTCTGTGGTATACTGAAGATGTTGTGCCGTAGCAGAGACACAGATCACAAACTTTCATGTACATTCAGACTTTAGATTTCCTCCGGGCAGCTTCACCAGTCGCTTTGCAGTTTCAGGAGCCGAAAGGCGGCAGGTGCGTCCTCAGCCTTGGGTGGGAACCTGCTCCCGGGGCCTCTGCCATCGGTAGGCTTCTTCCAGCGCTGGGGATCTTAGTGCCTCCCAGGGCCTCCTATTTCTTGGAAAGTTTTCATTTTTAGATAGTTTTTGTTTCTTCATGTTAAGCCAAAAATCTGCCTGCCTGTGACTCTTACCCTACTTGTATCATTTGCAGCTCCTCAAAATAAATGAAATCCTTTTCCAGTTTGAAGGCAGCTGTTGTGCCCCCATCCCAGCCATCCGAAACCCGATGGCTTGTTCACTTCTCACGTGCTCTAGGTGAATTCCATAGTCCCACATCAACTAGACGTCCAGTAACTGGTTCTTCGCACGTGTTGAATTAGGGGCTTCCAGATACGGTCTATTGGTGCAATGAAAAGCCCCCAAAACTTGTGATGCTATAGCTCTCCTAGTTGATGTGAATTTGCATTTAAAGCTTGATCGATCATGTGAGGGACTTGTTTTATCCACACTCCCGTCCCTGGGCCTCCTCATTGCGACTCTAGACGTCTTCACCCCGCCTGGTCTTGTCCGAGGCGGCTGACGTGTGGCTTGTCTCCCCGCAGGCTATCTGAACGTGCTCTCCAACAGCCGCTGGCGGGAGCGCTGGTGCCGAGTGAAGGATAACAAACTCATTTTCCACAAGGACAGGACCGACCTGAAGACCCACATCGTGTCTATTCCCCTCCGTGGCTGCGAGGTGATCCCAGGTTTGGATTCTAAACATCCCCTGACGTTCCGGCTGCTGCGCAATGGCCAGGAGGTTGCAGTATTGGAGGTAGGGTGTTTCCCAGGGGCTACACTCCACAGAGGGACACACGCAGTGATTCTCCTTCCAAAAGCTGAACGCTGACTCCTCTGTCAAAATTCCTCCCATCTTGCTGACTGCAGCTCTTTTCGGCCCACCCCCTTTTCTCTTGCTGCCCAGTCTGGGAGTCTTTGCTTTGCTTCTTGCCTCAGTTTTTTTTCTGGGAGATACGACAATGCCGGGACCCCAGCACCACTTTCTCCCCATTTGCACACATCGAATTGGTTTGCCTCCTTGTCTGAGTTCCTCTTTATGCCTGTTTGCAGAGAAATTACATGCACAATCCCACAGAGGACATTGCTTCTCTAAAGCACCTGGAAAGTAACTTGTTTTAAAATTTCCAAGAAGGCTCTTTCCGCCATGTGAGCTCTTTGAAGTGGTGGTAAATGTTTCCTTTGCAATGTTCTTGACTTCTTTACAGATGGAAGACTTTTTGGGGCCATCTGAATGCCTTGTAGATGGCGGCCAGTGAGCCACATGACACAGAAACCGAAAGAGCACCTTTGCTGTTTCAGAGCCCCGGGCTTGGTGCACGCTTTGTTATTTGTTTGGCTGCTTCACTAGAATTTCTTATTCATGAAAGCAGAAAAGACAGTTAAAACTTATAGCTACATCCTCAAAACTTTCATTATTGAAAGTTTTTAGTTTTTCATCATAGAAAACGTTCTGTTGATGTTTTCTGCCCTGTTTTAGACCTTTTTTTCCTGTGATTTTTCCCTTTATTTCTGAGTCTCCCCCCTCTTAGTGTTATTATGACCAAGATGCAAAGATACACACACACACACACACACACAGATAGATCCATGCATTCACATGTCAGATGGTCGCGTCCGTGTCAATGCACCTCATGCTGCAGAATCGATAGAAACCAGTTCACGTGAGGTGTGGTGGGTGGCTGGTGTGTGGCAGAAACTCACCTGGTGTGGAGCCTGCTCTAAATGCCTGCGCAGTGACGCTCATCGGCAGAGGGGAGAGTGCCAGGGGCTGCCGCCTAAACCTTGACGGCCCAGTCAGGCAATCTTTCTGAAGATCTTGAATTTCACACATAGGAGTTCATTGCAGGGACTATTTTCACAGAGGCTGCTTTTTTTGGTGGGGATGAAAAATAGATGAACACCATCTTTTTCCTGCAGGGCTCAGGAGGTAAGGGAAGGTCAGAAGCACGCACAGCTGCCCCCGTGGCTGGTTTTGCAGCAGTGTGATCTAACAGAGAGGGCTGGGCTCAGATGGGCTTGAGACAGCTGGGTTCCAGTCTCAGCTCTGTGCAGACCCTGACCATGGCCAAAGCTTTCGTTCTCTCTTGGCTTCTTTACCCACCGTAAAACATGAGTGCTGAGCTAGAGTCAGTGTACCTTGTAAACATTGATGTGGGCTGAAAACTGTAGGGTGGATGGCAGTGGAAAAAAGCTGAAGACTTAAACGAAGAAACTGTACTCTTGATGTCACAATGCGGGTCTCCCATGAGAGCTCTGGCAGCAGATCTGAGAAGGGTTGCCAGGAAAAGGAGGCATGAATTGGCACAGGTTAGATGCAGGAATGAAGAGGGAGACGCTGGGCTGAGTGCCGAGACAGAGAAGCTCAGGGTGGGGTGGGGTTGGGTGGAAGTTAGGAGCTGTTTGGTGAAGAAGTCACCTGCCCCGCCATTGCTGGGGGCACAGTAGCTGAGTGCCCCAAGTGCTGGAGAGAAAGTGGTAGCATTTCATACCTTCACCAATGCTTGGACCACTGAGGAAGGTGCTTATTCCTTGAGAGAGCTGAAGTAAGTAGACTCGGTTTCCTGAATGTCACGACAGCAAGAATTGGAAGTTTACCCAGTATCTCTTCATGTATGACCACTATTTTTACAGCTGAAAAGTGATTTTACTTACAAGTGACACATAAAACATCTACAGCCTTCCAACTTAAGCAAGAAGCCTGTCCTCATCAGTGGCGAAATGCCACGAGCCAGTCAGTAGAGGAGTTGCCATCTATACTTTTTCCAAGATCCTTTTATTTTAACTTTTGTTTTGAGATATCTTCAGAGTTACTGAAAAGTTGCAAGGATAGCACAAAGGGTGCCTGTGCACCCTTCATCCTTATCCGTCAAAGACCAATGTGCCCTGTGCTTGCTGTGCTGTTTCTTGCACAGCCCTGTGTGTGCACTCTCCCCGCCGCCCCTTTCTCTCTATATGTCTGTATGTCTTTGTGTAGGATTTTTTTTTTTTTTTTTTTTTTTTTTTTTTTTTTTTTTGAGACAGAGTCTCGCTCTGTCACCCAGGCTGGAGTGCAGTGGCGTGATCTCGGCTCACTGCAAGCTCCGCCTCCTGGCTTCACGCCATTCTCCTGCCTCAGCCTCCCAGGTAGCTGGGACTACAGGCGCCCACCACCACGCCTGGCTAATTTTTTTGTATTTTTAGTAGAGATGGGGTTTCACCGTGTTAGCCAGGATGGTCTCGATCTCCTGACCTCATGGTACTCCCGCCTCAGCCTCCCAAAGTGCTGGGATTACAGGCGTGAGCTACCGCGCCCAGTCTAACCCATAGATTTTTAATCAGTGATTATATCCTTCAATGTTGTGACTTATTTTGATCAAACTCTCACAGATCTGGTCCGCAGGAGGCCCTCGGAGCTGGTTTTTTGTCCTTTGCCATGTCCCTGTAATAGAGAGATCACAGTCCATCATGCTTGGAGCACTTTCCTTACTCTATGGCACAAGGAGATGCCCCAGGCTCATCCTGTACTTTTCCCTGCTCCAGACCTGGAGTCAGCCGTTCCTCCAAAGCGTGCTGTTCCTTTTAGAGGAGAATGGCAGAGAACTGAGAAGCCAGGATCTGGGGGCCAGATGTGCTCACTTCTGCCAGCGGACCAGAGCGCCTGGGTCTTTTCAGTAGACAGACGCTAGAAACTGATGTGTGGATGTGGATCTGGATACATACACACACATTCACATATTTATATGTTATACATGCGACAGATACTTAACAAGTGTATGTATACATGTACATGCATATACACATACACGCACCCACACACGTCTCTCTGTCTACACCTATGTATTAACAGCTGTGAGAACTAATACCTCCAACACCACAGGATTATTTTTAAAAGCCTATGAGGAAATTTCATACAATGAACTATGAAGAAAGCAATTGGTAAACTCTAATGTAATAATATCAGTGACATCTTAGATATTAATTGTATGAAAACATTTAAAAAATGCTTTGATGCAATGGTTATACTGACATAGGAATAGACTAATCATGGATACATTCTCAATATAGATTTCGTTTTAGGAAGGACATGAGACCTGTGAAGAGAACACATTTGTGATTTTTTTTTAATCCAGGTATTCAAATCAATTTATTTTAATTTGGCAAACATAGATTCTGTTTTTACTCTCTGTAAGGTACTTAATGGGAATTCCTTCCCTTTGTCCTCATGGCCTCATTGTGTATGGTTAGTAATGATTTGCAGTACGGAAGATATCCCTAGCCAATTTCTCAACATAAAAAAATAGCTGCTTCTTTGTTAACAACCCTTCCTTTAAAGAAGCCTTTCTACATGGCGTGGACTATTTACAATTACTTATATTTTGATCGGTGTAAAACTTGCCAAGGTTATAATTATAAAACCCAATTTTCTTTAAGCTCAACTTAGAAAATCTTTATTTAAATTAGTAATTTTTATAAGCAATGAATTTGTTTTCTTCAACATTCAGTTAACTCATAAATTTGATAGCTTAATTTCTCCTAAACTTTTAACCATTATTTACTTATTTGATTAATCAAAATTTTTAAAGATTTCAAATACCATTAAAAATATAACTGATTTTCTAAATCACTTTAAAACAATGACGTAAAACTGGGCATGGTGGCTCGCACCTGTAATCCTAGCACTTTGGGAGGCTGAGGTAGGAGAATTGCTTGAGCCCGGGAGTTCGAGACCAGCCTGGGCAAGATGGCAAGACCCTGTCTCTACAAATAAAAAATTTAAAAAAATTAGCTAGGCTTGGTGGTGCGCACCTGTAGTCCCAGCTGCTTGGGTGGCTTAGGCAGGAGGATTGCTTGAGCCCAGGAGATGGAGGCTGCAGTGAGCTATGATCACACCACTGCACTCCAGCCTGGGTGACAGAGCGAGACCTTGTCTCAGAGAGAAAAAAAAAAAAAAAGGATGACTTAAAAATTGAATGAACATAATCTTAAAGACATACTTCAGACTTGCAAATTAAGCAGACCAAATGGAGGAGATATCAGACATCTTAAAAAGTGGTGTGTCCAAAGCAGCCCAGTGATTACAGAGCATCGTTCCCCCATGGAAACACAATTAATATCAAAGGAAATTAGTTTTTATATCATCTAATCAAGAAACTAAGTGACCATTTCAGGCCCATGTAGGGGGGCTCACCCCAGGCTCCTGGATAAAAAAGTTGGAGACCAGTAAGGACCTAGCGCTTGGTCACACTTTCCAAGTCAGGCAGCAGCAGCTGGGACGTGCTCCTTCTCTTGGTCAGGCGGTGTCGCCAGAGGTTCCTCAGCAAGTTCCTTCAGCTGGAATGTAATTAGTCCCATTAACTTTCCTGTCTTACACCTAGTGCCTTTCCCCATGATAACTGGAAGGCATTTTAGGACCTCAGAGTTTCATTCACCTTTGGTATAATTGGGATGCCGCTTCTTAAGACCTGCTGTGGGCCAGGCACGGTGGCTCAAGCCCAGCACTTTGGGAGGCTGAGACGGGCGGATCACGAGGTCAGGAGATCGAGACCATCCTGGCTAACCCGGTGAAACCCCGTCTCTACTAAAAATACAAAAAATTAGCCAGGCGAGGTGGCGGGCACCTGTAGTCCCAGCTACTGGGGAGGCCAAGGCAGGAGAATGGCGTGAACCCGGGAGGCGGAGCTTGCAGTGAGCTGAGATCCGGCCACTGCACTCCAGCCTGGGTGACAGAGTGAGACTCTGTCTCAAAAAAAAAAAAAAAAAAAAAAAAAAAAAGACCTGCTGTGAACGTGACGTTAATCCCATCGCTCAGCTAGTGGCTGCGTCTTCCTTCTCGTTTCTTCTTTGGGACATCACGTTCCATCGCCTTTCCTATTATATGGTCTCTTTATTGGATACATTTACGAAAACGTAAAAATCTTTAGTTAAATACAACCTACCCTTTTTCCCACTTCCACAGGCATCTTCTTCTGAGGACATGGGCAGGTGGATTGGGATTTTACTCGCAGAGACGGGGTCGTCCACAGACCCGGGGGCCCTGCACTATGACTACATCGATGTGGAGATGTCTGCCAGTGTCATTCAGACAGCCAAACAAACCTTCTGGTAAGACCCACTGCCGTGTGAAATGGCACCACAGTTCAAGAATTGTCTTTTCGCTAACTTACTTTCACTTAGTTTTTGTGTGAGGATATAGTCTCCGAAGAAAAACGAAAGGCTTTCCCTTTTGCATTATCTTAATCCAAATTTTGCAGCAATGTTTTTGTCATGTCAAACCACTGGGTTTTCTATTCGAGCAGCATATGGCAAACTTGCATAAAGGACTAGATAGTAAATATTTTTTGTTTTATGGGCCAGACGATTCCTGTTAATAACCACTCAGCTCCCTTTCCAGCCAGACACCATACGTAAATGATGGGTGTGCCCGTGTTCTAATAAAACTTTATTTGTGAAAACAGGCAGTGGCCTGGATTTGGCCCATAGTTTGCTGACCCCTGTATTAGATGAACGGTTCTATGAAGCAGAAATGATTCTACATATTGCCGTAATGAGGACTGAGTTTTCAAAGGTATCCATCAAGTACTTTGTAAATTTAAATTGTGATTTTTTAAAAAAATGCTGCAATCATGTATAAAAACGTCCTTTTGAACTGTGAACATTTCTTTAACATAATGATGGCAGACATATTTATAGCAGCAGTTCTTGGTATGGTCCAGAGATCCCCTGGGGATATTCCAGACCCTTTCTGGCAGTCTGTGGGGTTAAATTATTTTCATAAGACATTGTTTCCGTCTCCCACCATTTGGACATCTGCATTAGTACCATTGGCTGGCAGCTTCGCACCAACAGTCGTCCTTCTCTGTATTAATAATCATTGTCACTGCCAGTGTAAATAGTCAAAGAATTTTACCATTTGCGATAGTAAAAGAAAATGCTGGTTTCACTTCAGATGTCCTTGAGGAAGCAATAAAAACGATGACTTTTTCTATAAAGGATCAGATAGTAGATATTTGCACAAAGGCTCTGAAGCCCGTGTGCTTTTCCTGTTCCGCGTGGCGTGATGAGAGGCCACGGAGAGCACGCAGGCATGTACAATGACAGTGGTCCTATTGAGGAACAGCTCAGACACGTGAGGTGCTCAGAGAACTAGCTGCGTTAAATTTTGTTTCATTTTTACTTGAAAAAGCAACAGATAAACTGTGGTTATTCGCACGTAGGCATTTGCAGATGTTTCCTTGAGAATGAGCTAGCTACACCCATCATCATCTCTAGGCAAACAGTTGGCAGTATTTGTTGCTTACGCTACATTTAAGCTTTCCTTAGAAATTAGAATGCTGGAAAATTTGCATCTGCCATGGTGAGCTTGCCAGCTTCTCAGCACCCACAGACTCTTGCTGGGATCTGTAGTCATGTCAGTGAGCAGTTTTGTTGATGTCGTATAATGAAGGGTGTCAACGTTGGAAAGATCTGCAGAAGCCGTGCTTGGGAAAAGATCTATTCCTAGTGCAAGATAAACGACTGGATTTTAATGTGAGTCGATAGATCTGCTTTCCGACTCCATTGCAGTTGGCGGTAAGAGGCCACCACTTGCCGCGTTTTGGTGTAGTACTAAAGAAGCGCGGCTACAACTCGGAAAAAGCAATTAAAATGTGCCCCACTTGTCCAGCTTACATCTGTTTGAGGCTGGATTTTCTTCGCATACTTCAACCAAAAGCGCATTTGGTGACAGATTGAATGCAGAAGCAGGTGTGAGAATCCAGCTACCTTCTATTAAGCTGGACACTAACTAGGTTTACAGACGTGTGAACAGTGCCACTTGTTTGTTTGTTATTGGGGTTTTGTTGTTGTTGTTGTTGGTGGTGGTGGTGGTTTTTTTTTTGATTAAGGGTCTTGCTCGGTTGCCCAGGCTGGAGTGCAGTGGCACAATTATGACTCATTGCAGCCTCGACCTCCTGGGCTCAAGGGATCCTCCCATCCCAGCCTCCCAAGCAGTTGGGACTACAGGCATGTGCCACCATGCCTGGCTAATTTTTGTTGTTGTTGTTGGTAGAGACGGTGTCTTGTTATGTTGCCCGGGCTGGTCTCAAACTCCTGGACTCCTGGGCTCAGGTGATCTTCCTACCTTGGCCTCCCAAAGTGCTAGGATTACAGGCATGGCCCACGGTGGCACTTTTAAGTGAATAACAATGAACACATTTCTCAGATTTTCATTTCAAATACAGCAGGTAGTAGGTAGGGCATCTTGGCTTGGGTCCTGCTTTGGTACTTACTAATTAGAACAATTTGGACAAGCCATTCATTACCTGTTAGTACCTCTGCTGCCTTCTGTAGAACATAGAGAGGGTGGGCGACTTCATCTCTGAAACCTGCAGCTCCGGCGTCTTTCACCCCTTGACAGCTGCACATGTCTCTCTCCTCCTTAGAGAGTGGGGACTGGGGTGAGGGAGCGAATGAAAACAAAGCTGGTCATGAATTCCATCATCAGCAAGTGAGGGGAAACAGAGACAGCTGCTGGCGGACCCGCCAGTGCTGAGATGACGCGACCTTTCCAGTGTGGAGAAGATGGGCTCAGATGCCGGTGCTGTTGTGTCGTGCCTGTGTAATGTGAACACCACCCTCTAGTTTTTCCACACAGGTGCTCTCTGTGGGGAATTGGAGCAGTCTTCCTTTGCGTCTTCAGTGGTGAATGGACGTTCATTTAATGCTTAGCTAGGACATTCTGGGGCTAAGAAATAGTTCCCAAAGTGAAGATAACTTGGTCCATTTTAGGACTCAAACCACATGTTACATACACCCAACTAAGGTCAATAGCCTTGACAAGTGGAATTAGTTTTGCACAGATTGTCCATGAAATCCCCAGTAACACTGGAGGGTTTCTACAGTGCAGACTGGTCTCACCACTGTCCTTTTGTGTGGAAATCGGGATAGATGTAGTCTAGTACTTACCATTCTATTTGTACTCATTATTGTTTAATTATATTCTTTCTAATCAGCAAAATGTAGGTAAATTGTAATGATTCTATTTGTTAAGTACTATGCAGTAAATAAAGCACATTTAAAGTTTTTTAAAGAGTATAATATCCTTAAATCTAGTTTGGCAAAATCTGCCCAACTAGACTGACATAAAAGTGGTTATGGATGTTCACTATATTTGTTTAGCAGATACTAAATTTCCATAAAAACCTATCCTACGGCCACATGTAATTGCAAGTATAATCAGCAAACCAATAACCACATTTAAGAGAAATCCTGAATTAAAATAGTTGCCCTAGAATACAACTTGGCCTTTACTCTATAAATGACGAGAGTATTAATCTAAACCAAATGTGGCAAGGTCACATTTTTGAGAAAGGAATGTAGATTATAATACTAAAAATATTTATTAAAAATATGCATGTAATGAATTTATGGCTGCAGGCATCTTTTCTTCCTCATTAAAGTCTTTATAGGAGGTGTCAGTTAGCAACAAAGCTTATTTTCAAGTTTTCTGGCCAAACATTCCTGTAACAGTTAAGAGAGATGAGATGTGACAAGGAAGCAGTGTTCAAAATATGGTTGCTTGCCAGTGTGATGAATATTCTAAGATTAAATGTTTTGCTTTTATATAAACTGGCAGCCAGTTAATGAATCTTTTCAGGGTTCTTAGGAGAATTCTTTGTGCATTGTGTGTGACTGAGGAAGAGACAGCAGTAATATATTTTGAAAAGGGGAAAGTGTAAGATAATAATGGAGATTCTCCCAAGAAAAATAGGATATTTAGGAACTTTAGTTAATGGTAAACAATGAAAACGTATTTTCCTGAAAACCTATTTACAATGAGGTACATAGATTGTATAACACAGGAAAATACTCCAGAGTCTTCCTGAAACTCTCTTCAGGTCACACTCAGCTGGGAGCCCCTCAGGAAGCAGTGGTGAGGATGAAGAGGATGGAAAGCAGGGGTTGGTGCGGAGCGTGGGGAGATGCACGGATGGGGTGGTGAGGATGAAGAGGATGGAAAGCAGGGACTCGTGTGGGGAGTGGAGTGTGGGGAGATGCACGGATGGGAGGCAGTCCTCTTGGCCACCCTTTCCCCGGAGTCCCGGGAGGTTATTGTGAAATAGCTCCCCATGACTGTCTCCTAGTTTTGGTGTAACGAGTGGCATGTGGCCTCTTACTTCATTTCCACTTCTGTCTTTGGCTGCAAATCCTATTGTGTAGAGACACCCAGCGGAAGACTGAGGCCTCGTGTTTAGTCGGGTCCCCAGGCCCTGCCCTCTTGGGGGCCAGGCAGAGTTGTCCTCACTGGGCCAGGTCCCTCTCTATGGGGTGAAGGGTGACGAGCTCCTGGCTGAGGCCTCCTCCACCTAGGACATTCTGTGTGCCTATGACCCATAATCCCCATGCTCCCAGGTCCTGACAGGTGAGCCCGTCAGAGGCCTCCTGCAGTGACTCTTCCCAGCACAGAAGCAGGAGTGGAGCCACCAGGGCCTCTGTTCTGACCCCATCCTTTGTCCCTGCTGCAGCAGGGCGAGTGCAGGGCACATGCTCGAAACCGAAGATGCAAGCCCACGAGAGCCGTGCCTGCCGTTGGAAGGAGAAGGACTGAAGGCAGTACGACCCAGGGCACAGGCGAGGGGGTGGTCCCCGTGGCCGGGCTTTATTCATTCCTCCATTTACTGCCTCTCACTGACAAAAAGTATACATAGCACTGTCTCCCCAAAAGCCCTCCAATGAGGCATTTAATTGGAAAACCTTAAATATGTATTTTTAAAAATCAAAATCTATTACTGCGAAACAAATGTTCAAGTTTTGCTGTGCCTTTCTTTCTTGTATGTTTTCTTCTTATTCATCTTATTTTCCTACATATACCTGTATGTATTTTAAGTTTAGTATAATTGTATTAATTTTTTATAAGCAAAGGAGAAAGTTTTAAAATTATAATTGAAGAATGTGTCCAGGCAGCAAGCCGCGCATGGCGTCCCTCCCCAGCAGGGGGCACACGCGCGCTCTGTGCGGAGCCATTTCCGCGGCCCGCGCTGCTGAAGCCCAGCCCCGATCCCCAAGCCGAGTTCCTCCCGCCACTCCCGAGGCTATGCTGCCGGACTTCTTATCAAAGAGGCAGGCTTCACTTGCCCCTGTGTTTCTCTCCCCAGTTTTCACCTACCCTGTGTTTTCCTCATCTGGTGATCACAGAAGCCCAGGATCCTGTGAAATACCCCTATTAGCAGGAAATGCTGTCGGGTAGTCCCTTCCCTGGGATTTACATTGTTAGTCCTGACCCGTGGCTTCGGAAGCCGGCCGAGCCTCTAGGCACCTGCACCTGCACCTGCACCTGCACCTGCGTGTGCCCGCGTGGTCCCCGCGCTCCTGAGGCCAACCCTCCAGAGGGGAGAGCAGGCAGATGACAGATGCAGAGCAGTGGCCCTGGGCCCGGAGGGGAGGGAGAGGCCGCTGTGGGGCTGCGGGGCGGGCCGCCTTCTAGGGGGCAGCACCCACACCCACGCGGAGACCGGGGTGCGAGGGGTGTCAGGAGAGGAGTTTGGCAGGCAGAGGGGCTGGGGAAGCTGAAAGAGCCAGGGGAGTGCCGGGGCACCCAGGAGACTGACGGAGCGCAGGAAGTCACGGCGCAGTGACGGAGCAGGAACCCAGTCCCTAGGAGCCCCGCGGCCCTGGGCAGCACCTTGCGACTTCAGAAGCCCCTGGGGGTGTTGGGTGGAGGCTGGCGTGGCCCAGCCTGCCCTCCTTAAAGGGGAGGGGGCCGTTCCCTCACCACAGGCTCCACACTGTTGGCCTCACCCCTGGCCACTAAATGGGCAGGTCTTTCCCGCGCCAAGCGCTTCTCTAGGTTTCTGTGGGCACCAGCTCGGTGTCCTCATACATGAACTCAATCCTCAGTGGTCTTCCAGGAGGCAGCATCAGGCCCTCCCAGTGCAGGGCCCAGTCCACAAAGCTGACTCCACTTCAGATGCCAGTCACAGGTCCAGGATGTCACCTGTGCATCTGACCAATGGGATGTGAGTTGGAGGTTCCCACGACCCCTCCCCTCCAGTTCAGTGATTGCTAGAACCCTCACAGAACATAGGAGGAGCTTGCTTACTGAATTAGCAGTTTACTGTAAAAGGACACAGCTCAGAAGCAGTGAGGGAAGAGGTGTGCCAGGCAAGGCATGTGGGGCACAGCACTCCTGTGCCCTCGCTGGGCACACCACACTCCCAGCACCGCCGCATGCACACAGCCCAGAAGCTCCGGGAACCCCATCCTTTTGGGTTTTTATGGAAAGTTCCAGCCCTAATCACAGGGTTGATTTCCCTGGCAACCAACCCTCATCCTGCTCTTCATGTAGGAAATTCCGAGAGTTTTAGGAGCCTTGACCAGGAACTTGGGACAAATACCAAAATATATATTTATTATGCCACAATAACACACCTTCTAAAGGATTTCTCAGGCCGCTGTCAGTGGCTCTTGGAAGTTGAGGAAATTTCAGGGAAGAGGTGAAGATGTGTGGGGTGGCAGTGGTGCCGATTGAGTACTAAGAACTCCATAAATACTTGGTGAATGAGTGTCCCAGAAAGCTTATAGAACAGAGATCCACGAACTTTTTCCAAGAAAAACCAGACAGTAACTTTCAGCTCTGCAGGCCATGTTGTCCTCTTGGAAGTAACACACTTGTGAAAGAGGCGTATGTTCCAGTAAAGCATTATTATGAACACAGGCTGTGAGAGGAGCTGGCCACTGTGAGAGACGGATGATAATCAAAACGCTTGGTATTTCTGAACACCTGTTATTTGCAGGCTTTGCTGTGTGTACCTAGCATTGGTTATTGGCGTTCTGTGCCGCGGTTCTGCAAATTATGTGCCGTCCTAATTTTATAGGACAGTCCTTCCAATGCATCTTCTCATTTCCGCCTATATTCTGTCTAGTATTTCTTCTCTGCCCCTGTGACCTCTGACATAGCCTTGGGAATAAAGTCAGAACTCATTAAAGACTTGACTCGTTGGAGTAAAAGGTGGTCAGGTTATGGATTTTAATGCATTTCCTTTCTTTCAGTTTCATGAACAGGCGTGTTATATCTGCTAACCCATATCTGGGGGGCACCTCCAATGGCTACGCCCACCCCAGCGGGACGGCGCTTCATTACGACGATGTCCCGTGCATCAACGGCTCGGTGAGTGCCCTTTTGCTGGAGTAATGGTTGGTTTTGTTAGACAGCTGTGAAAATTCTATGCTTCAGTTCCCCTGGTTTCAGGTCTGAATAAGGTCAGCTTTTTAATGCTCTGAAGCAGAGACTCCATCTCATCTCTGTTCTCCTGGTTTCTGACATGCTGTTCATCTGAATCTGCATTTGGACAAGTGGATAGTTTGAGACTAGTAGACAGTTTGTCATTTAATGTCACTGTCATTTTCCTGTTGGTGTTGAGGTAGGGTCCTCATCTGTTGCCCAGGCTGGAGCACAGTGGTGCAGTCACAACTTACTATAGCTCAACCTCCCCAGCTCAATCGATCCTCCTACCTCAGCCTCCCAAGTACCTGGGACCATAGGTGCACACCACCACATCCCACTCATTTGTTGGTTTTTAGTAGAGGCGGGATCTCCCTATATTGGCCAGGCCAGTCTTGAACTCCTGGGCTCAAGTGATCCTCCCACCTCAGACTTTCAAAGTGCTGGGATTACAGACGTGAGCCACTGTGCCTGGCCTAATGTCACTGTCACTAATTAAACGTGTCAGCCCACTAAAATAATGACTAAAGGAGAGCATGTTAGAGTAATACTTGGATAACTTATTAAATCAAAACATAACACAGTATAAGTTATCAATGAATAGTTATTTCCCGATGGGATTAAAATGCTGAGAAATCCCCTCAGGAAGGAAATGATAACATAGAGGAATGATCACATTACAAATTCGACAGCTTCCCTTGGGGTGGATTTGGAGCGGCCAGGCTCCTGGCTCCCGGCACAGCGCTATCTGTATATCCATATGTCCATCTAGCCATGCAGGAGTCTCCAGTCACAGCTTTGTGCTACACTGGCCTCCAGGGTGTGCCTGGCCTTAGGAGTTCTGAAGTCTGTTCTCAGCGTGTTATGTTATATGTGTCATCAGCAGGCCTCATCAACAAGTGCTGGTTCTACAGTGTCTGCCTGCTACTCATCTCACAACCACGTGTTGAGCATCCTGTCTGATCCAGGCACGGTGCCCGGCCCTGGGCGTTCAGAGATGAGGCCTTCACAGTTAGTGGATGAATGAAGGAGGCTTGTGAGAAACCACTATGCCATTTGTCTCCCAGTACTGGAAGGGTTTGAAATTGGCATCTATGTTAAGATAATTTTCAAAGGTAGACATAAAGTAAATGTATTGTTATGTTTTCCAGCCTTGGAAGGTATGTCAGACTTTTTTCTTACTGTTTTGCTTCTCCAGTCTTTTCCCTGATGTTCTGATGAATGTCCTCAATCAGCCCTGGCACCGTAAATTCATAGCTGCCTCACAGCAGGAACCAGGAGACAACAGCCTCCTTGAGGGAAGAGAGGGGCTGAGGACCCCCAGTGCTCAGGAGCATAAACAAACTGAAAGCAGGTTCTCGTGGCCAGGGTCAGAAGCGGGTGGCCCATCCCTCAGGAGCCACGATGGACGCGGTGTGTGTCCCTGGGGCTCGGTTGCCTTCCCATTGGCCACCGCCTCCTTTCTGCCGCTCTGGACCTGCCCTGGGGTTCCTGTCGGGGAGGCTGCCCTTGCTGTGCGAGGCCCCACCTGATTCTAAAAAGGGATCTTTTCGTCACTTCGTCTGCCCCCTTCCCTCCTCAGTCCTCTCTCCCTTGCCTCATTGGCTGGGTGTCTCCCAGGGGCCAGACTCTGTGCCAGTTGAAGAAGAAATGGCGAAGCGATTATCTTTGTCCTGAAAGGGCCTCTGAGTCTCGTGGGAGTGAGTGGACCTGGGAGGGAAACAGACATAGGAGCGGGGAGAGCTTCCTGGGCCCTGGGCAGCGCAGGGCCTGCTTGTAGGTCCCATGTTAGGATAGGGTGGCATGGGGCAAACAGAGCCACTTTTGGATCCCATCCTAGCTTCAGAGTCCATCCAGTAGAGCCCCCCATCTTAGGCAGAGGGATATCAGGTCCAGTGAATCTCCTCCTCTCCCCCTCAGCCAATCCTCCCTGGGGTGTCTCTGGGTGTCCAGTCACCACAGCGCTCCACCCCTGGGCAGGTCTTGTGGCAAGTTCTTCCTGCTTAAGATGGTACCACAGTACCCTGTGAAGTAGGGCTCTCAGGCTAGTCCCTGCCCTCTATTCTGGCCTCTGAGTCCTTCTTGAGGTGGGACCCGCTCTTCTGCCTCCATTTGCCCTGTGTCACTCCAGCGTCTCTTGATAGCAGTCTTATCACTGGGTTTAGACTCCAGTTACCACAGTCATCTGCATCCTGAGAACCATCCACTTCTCTGAGCCTACATCTAGCCCGTCCCACCCAAAGACCCTTTCACACGCCTTTTCCTCAGATACGTTTCTTCCGTGTGCGCCTTACACACGTACCTGTGACTGTGAGCTGGATGCTGTCATCATCTGTGGAACCACGCACGTGATCGTCTGGCTCCACCCAGCACGTTGTTTTCAGACTATTAGGACACTCAACAGGCCAGCCCCAGGAGCGAGTGTTCCTTAAGTTATTCGCAGCTTAATCTGTTGTAGAAACAAAGGTCTGCCATTCCTAAAGGGCTCTGCACGTAGGAATTGTTTGTGTGTGTGTATTGCTGGGCTGGAGATAGCCACCTTTGCATAATATGCTGTATGTGTTTGTGGCTTCCTTGCTTATTAGGCCTTCCTCTGCTCAGGCCCTTCCTGAAACTGTTTTCTGTGTGTTCGGCTCTGTTACCAGCTCTTCTCTTTTTGGAGGGCCTCATTTCTAGGTTTTTAGAAGTTCATATTTATAGCCAGGCGTGATGGCTCAGGCTTGTAATCCCAGCACTTTGGGAGGCAGAGGTGGGCAGATCGCTTGAGCCCAGGAGTTCAAGACCATCCTGGCCAACATGGTGAAACCCCATCTCTACTAAAAATACAAAAATTAGCCGGGCATGGTGGTAGACGCCTGTAATCCCAGCTACTCAGGAGGCTGAGGCAGGAGAATTGCTTGAGCCTTGGAGGTGGAGGCTGTAGTGAGCTGAGATTGCACCACTGCACTGTAACCTGGGCAACAGAGCAAGACTGTGTCTCAAAAAAAAAAAAAAAAAAAAAAAAGTTCATTTTTATGACCTAATATCTGGGATCATAGCACTGTTTCAGCTTTAGTTATGTTTACCCATTCAGTGTTACCCCATGATGCTTAGACTGAGATGAAAGTATGTACACTCACACTTTAGAAACTTCTATGAGGTCGCTGTAGGTGTTTTTCTGAGTCTTCCATGTGACTTAATCTTTGATATTTTAGGAAAATGATAGTCTCGTCTAGACCGTTTTAATAACTCTGGACAAATATATGCTAGGTCGTCATTATGAAACTCTCATATCCGAGTTTATCTGCAGGGACCGTTATTTTTAGATCACAAAAATAGACACATTGAAGTGATTGCGGAGGAATACAGACACTCCTACTGCAGAATTTTAAGTCTTTTCTATTTTTATAACAAAAGGTTGTAATTACCGTCTGGCAGAAAGGACTGTGCAGGAAGACTAAACCGGGTAAAATGAATATAAGAGAGGAATTAATATTGCCTTTCTTGTCATGCCAGGCAATTTATAAAGACCTTTAACCCTGAAAAGGCCGTGGCTGTGGTTATCAGTTTTTGAGTTAACACTTTAATGCCCATGTTCTCAGATTCCTCTGTCCCATGCAGTGGCACGTAACTATTTTAGTCGTTGGTTAGAGATTTTCTGCTAAAATAATACCATTGTATCAGTTAGATTTGGAAGCATCTAATTTTCTATGAGGATTTGATTTCTCTTTTCACAGACCGTTTTGGTTGTGTTGGTTGTGGCACTTTCTTCAGTACAGAGTAGGGGACAGAGGATGTGTGTTGACAGTTCCCGTAGGACTTGGGTCACTGACTCCTGCACAGGGGCTTGGAGGAGCCTGCAGATGGTCTCACGTCCCCAGAAGGAGCGCGAGGCTTAGTGGCAGTACTGTGCTGGGATGAGCGCGCCCTTCCCTCCGCTCTGCCACTCACCGGCTCTAGGGCCTGTCTCTGCTTCCATTTCCCCCTCTATCCCCGGGTGACTGTGAGATGAAGTCAGCACCCAGGACGTGGGAAGTGCTGTGAAAAGCATCGAGTGCTCTGCTTGGCCCTCGTGTGTCTTCGTATAGACCCCAGAGCACCAGGACCCTAGTCCCGTGCTCGTTCCTCCCCTCACATCCACGTCCTGCACTGGGGGAATTTCTGAACCCCAGGTTCTCTAAAGAAGAAAATGCCAAATCAACATTGCTTCTTCTCTTTAAAAGACAGGACAAAACAAAAACTTCATAATCCGAGGGTTCTGGGAATGGTTTAAGGAAAAAAAGAAATTTTTCCATAAGGCTTCAGAAGTCCAGTCCTTTTGAATCAATCTGCAGGCTTGTGTTGGGTTTGTGTATGTGTGTGTATTGGGGGGTGCATGCCTCGTTGATAACAACTGCAGTCTGTGTGCAGAATGTTGGGGTACCATGCTATGCTAAATGCTATACTATTAATGAATGACATCTCACTGTGCTAAAAGCTGCTGTTTTCTGTGTCTGAGTCACTAACCACAAAGCTGTGTGTGTTGTAGTGGGAACCGGAAGACGGCTTTCCTGCTTCCTGCGGCAGAGGCTTGGGAGAAGAGGTGCTTTATGATAACGCAGGCCTGTACGATAACTTGCCGCCTCCGCAAATCTTTGCCCGCTACTCTTCTGCTGACAGAAAGGCCTCTAGGCTGTCTGCTGACAAGCTGTCCTCTAACCATTACAAATACCCTGCCTCCGCTCAGTCTGTCACTAATACCTCTTCTGTGGGGAGGGCGTCTCTCGGGCTCAACTCGCAGGTACGGCATCTTCTTCTGTAAGATTCTAGAACCACCTTCAAGTCACATTGCTCCAACAGAGTTTTGCAGCTTGTAGTAAATGGGACTCATCAAAGGCAAAGCGTAATGGTTTTTTTTTTTCCTCAACTAGGATATAATTTGCAGCCTGACTACCAAGGAACTGATGAGATATTTCTAACGAGCTCATGGTTTATCGGAGCGCTGTGTTTCTTTGCCCACATCTGGCTCTCTTTCTGTTCTTGGAAAATTCCCCAGTGAAATTTTGTGAATTATGTCAACTAAAGGAATAGAATTTAAAAGAAACGGGTAATAAAACCTTCCAGAAGATTCTTGAACGGCCAGTTTCTTTAGTATGTTTCCGTTACACGTAATGAGGAAGGGTTGACTCTGTGTAGTCATTGCTTTTGATCTTTAACCATGAAATAGATTATTCAGAGTACGGTAGTGTTTCTCCATGACAAGTCTAAAGGTATACTCCCCAAAACTAGACGATGATAATAAGGACTTTTGATGACCATTGAACAATAATAACCATGATGTTGAACTGTTGTCCATTGCACACCCTGTATTTATGGCAAACAGTAACATTTCAGAGTAATTTTGTCGTGTTAGGCCTTTAAAAAAAAAAAAAAAAAAAAAAGATGAAGTCTCACTATGTTGCCCAGGCAGGACTTGAACTGTGGGCTCAAGTGATCCTCCTGCCTTCGCCTCCCAAGTAGCTGGGACAGCAGGCACATGCCACTGTGCCCGGCTTATACATGTTAAACCTAAGAATTTTTTATGCTTTGCCTAAAGACCTAAGCCCATATGTAAGAATATGAACATACAGCAGATGGGCATGTTTTAAGTCTTTGTTTTTTTCTCCATTCTTTGGATAGTCTTAAGAAAATAATGAACCAGATAAAATTGTAGAATTGTAGATAGTAGTGACTGAGAACACTAACTCCCAATAGGTCGGCTTCATCAAAAGTCAAATGCGCGGGTTGGTGTTGGTTTTTGATTTTTCATGATGGTTGTTCAGATCCCATCCCTGGGGATTCCCGTTCAGTGAGTCTGAGGGGCCCTGAGCCAAGTGTAGTTGGGGGGCAGGGGTAGGGGAGCCGTTGGCCTCTTTTGAGGACTTAACGCCAAAAAGTTGGCAGGTTATGTGTTGTATTTACTGAGGGAATGTGTATCTGTCTACGTTTCTACCTATCTTTTTATTGGCATTAGAGTCGCCTTAGGTAAAACCCTGCCACAGTTGGCCATCTTGCACACTTGGATTGTCCCCCACATGGGTTGGGAATCATTCGATGTATGGTTCCCATGTGGAGTTTTTGTTATTATTGCTCCCTTTTGTTTTTGTTGAAATAGGAAACACTTTTGCAAGTTAAATTCCATGACCTCTGGGTTTCCTGTCCTCATTTGGTCATTTTAATGGGAGCCTATTGCTTAATGGCGAGACCTTGCACTTTTCTGAGCACTTAGGTGCCATATGCTTCATCCATGTATGGCACACCATCTGATCTTTTTAGGAACCCTGTGGGGAGATATCTCTTTACGTTTTTAAATGATCAAATGGGAGCTCAGAAAGTTTAAAGAACTTGCTCAACATCTCCTAAATGATAGAGCCAGAATTTGGAGCTAGATCTCTCTGCCTCCCAAAAATTGAGGCCTGCAACAGAAGGAAACGTATCATGGAAAAAAGCATGGCGTGGATACTGGAGTGAGCCTTTGCCGTCATGCTGAATTAATCACACAACTAAGCTACACGTAAGGTCACTTCAGCAAAATGCAAAACGTGTTGGCCTGTATCAATCTCAGGGGTAGAGTACTGTTTCCCTGTTTCAGAAACCTGTGGTTAGTGGAAGTTTAGTTTCCCTATTATTGCTGCCGCGTCTGTGTTATGCTTCTTTTGCTTCCTTCCATGGACTCCGTCAGCAAGTAAGGCGGTCACTTACCCCATTAGGATGTCACTCAGTGTCAAAGCACTTGGAGCAGCAGAACTCACACTGCAGGGTCGTGCTCCTCTCCTAAAAAGCATCCCACTGAAATAAAAGCTGTTTATCCTCAGAAACACAAACTCCTCCTCTGAGCTGAGTGCTCTGGGGTCGTCAGCTGCCTGTGCCAGCTTGGTTAGCATTTGCGATCTGCCAGTAGAAAGGGGTCACGTCCGCAGCATTCCAGCGGAACGCATCCTACAGAGCCTCTGCCACACCCTCCTTAGCCATTCCCCAGAATCCCAGCAGCCCAGTGTTTGGAAACCATCTTGTTTTTTTTTTTTTTTTTTTTTTTTTTGAGACGGAGTCTCGCTCTGTCACCCAGGCTGGAGTGCAGTGGCCGGATCTCAGCTCACTGCAAGCTCCACCTCCCGGGTTTACGTCATTCTCCTGCCTCAGCCTCCCGAGTAGCTGGGACTACAGGCACCCGCCACCTCGCCCGGGTTAGGCGCCCGCCACCTCGCCCGGCTAGTTTTTTTTTGTATTTTTTAGTAGAGACGGGGTTTCACCGGGTTAGCCAGGATGGTCTCGATCTCCTGACCTCATGATCCGCCCGTCTCAGCCTCCCAAAGTGCTGGGATTACAGGCTTGAGCCACCACGCCCGGCCTACCATCTTGGTTTTCTTTCACATTCATTTTTTTCCGCGTCGATACTAGTTTCTCTAATACTTAGAGTCAGAGACTGAAAGAAATGACTGCAGGAAAAAAAAAAAAGACCAAGATTTGTTCGACTGTGTGTTTATTTTTCATGTTCTTATATGTGTATTTCAACAGCTCAAGGGTAAGAAGCCCCCCGTGGCATCTAATGGGGTCACAGGAAAAGGGAAGACTCTGAGCAGTCAGCCAAAAAAAGCGGATCCTGCGGCTGGTGTGAAAAGGACAGCTTCGAGTAAGTATACCGTCGGATGTCTTGCATTCTGGCTTCAAGTGCACTTGGTGGAGCCAGGCCTGTCTGAGCCTGCCCACTGGTGAGTGCCAGCTTGGGGTCAGCTGGAGAGACGGAGCAATGCGCACTGTCACCCTTCCTCATCGGCCACGTGGAAGGACAGTGGTGAATTCAACCCAGCTTTTCTGACTGTGCTTGTAAATTGAAGCCCAGAACTGGTTTGCTGCCTGTGGGATTGACTCAGCATTTTAAAATAGGAGGCAGTTGTGAGTGCAGGCTGCTTGCAGCTCCAGGTAGCCCTGGACTCCAGGTCAGGAGACCTCAACTCTGGTCCCTGATCTGTGGTTGACAAGCCGTGCAAACTCTAAACTCAGCATCTTTTTCTGTCAGACATAGACACGTGGCTCCTGTGGTTGGTGCAGCTGGGATAACTGAGGTAGTACACGGACCTCAAAGTACCAGAGCAGTACGAGGAGTTCTTTGGGATAACCGAGGTAGTACACGGACCTCAAGGTACCAGAGCAGTACGAGGAGTTCTGAGGAATGGTTAGTCCTGCGGTGCCTGTGTCCACAGCAAGCCATTCTTACGCAATCCGGTTTACTAAACACAGCCACTTTGTAAGCGTAGGCATTATCCTTTACCCCATCGTAGAAATGAGAAAAGAATAATCAAGAGAGTAAGCAGCTCTCCCGAGGGCTCGCAGCTGGTACATCACAGAGCCAGAGTGGGTGCCAGGCTTTCAGACTCCACATCCAGCTGAAAATAGATTGGGCAGAGAAGCATTAAGATATGAGAGAGACAGCCTGCCTGGACCCAGCACCCTCTTCCCTTGCCTCCACTAGATCCATCTGGGGTGATATGGCATCTCTTAAGTGTTTGTATTTGCATTAGTCCTCATGATGTTGGATGTCTAATCAGGGAGCCGGCCAAGCAGCATTTTTTCACTCAAGGGACTCAAAGATACACTAAAGTAGTTGCTGTCTAGCGGCTTCAGTCCAACAGACCCACACATGCAGACAAGTAAGTGGTAGGGCTGCAGTGTGGGGATTTACAGGTGAGGGCCTTCTGAGTCCATCTGGGCATGTCCAGGAAGATTTCTCAGAGGAAGAAGGTGGGAGTTAGGTGCAGATGTTGAGTTTGATGCGGTTACATGTCATCGCCCCTTGGGATTTGTACCTGAGATTTTCGAATCTGGATCTGTGCAACTGGTAGACCAGTCTCAGTGCTAATGAAGATGAGTCCGGCTAGCCCCAGCTGGTAACCCCCACGCCAGCTGCTGGAGAGAGAGACTCTCATACCGGCACGTGCCGACATCCCTTTGCCCTGTGGTTCTGTTTTTGGAGTCAGAGCATCCACATAGGGGAATGGAGAGGCTGGCAGTGTCCTTGGCCATGTTTGTGGACGAGGCTTGGAATCGCTCCGCAGGACCAGGCGGCGTCTGCCCCGAGGAAGTGTGTACATCCCTGACCTAAGCTTTTCTCCACCTCTGTTCACATGTTGACCAGATAGGTTGGAGCCATTTGGGCCAAATCCTCCCTCCTACCACCATTTGTTTAATGTACTAACTTCCTTTGACCTTATCTGGCAAATCTTATTTCCCGAATGTGTTGGGTGTTTTTACTTTCACCTCTTTTTGTGTTGTTTCTTTGGGGAGGGGCAGATGGGGGAGAGGAGCAGCTCACACCTGGAAAGGTTTATTAAAAGCAAAATCCGAATCCCACGGAATCTCATTCGCCATGGTGTTTCTCTGTCAGTACCTGTGCTGACTTTATTTTTTAGATGATTTATTCCTTTATTTTATGAGACCTTCTGTAGGGAGTTTTTATTAACTTTGGTGACATCTAATGGTGACAAAAGAGAAAAATAATGGCATTCCGTGTTTTTGCTGAATCCAGCCACTTGCATTATAGATTAGATGAGATTTATTACATGGGGACCAAAAGATGTGGAGATTTATAGGTTATTGCATTGCATTTGTTGGGAAAACAGCTTAGTTTAGAAATAAGTGAGTAGAGTTTGGACTTGGCCTTGTTTGCAAAATATGTCGTGATTTTAGCTGCGAACAGTGATCCTTTCGTTTCAGGTTGTTGAGTGCTTTGCCTCTCCTCGGGCTGCTGACCCTTTTGCTGTCATTCTGTGTGTTTCTTTTGGTTAGGGGAAAATTGACTGGGGAGTGATCACTTTTTATACCTTCATAAATGCAGTATTTCATTGAAATCATGATGGCTTACATTGCAAGAATTGGCAAATCCAGCATTTAGGACAGGTGCTAGAAATGGCTCCCTGCTATCCCTGAGAGGACAAGGCTCTGGGAATCACTTATCACCGATATGGTAAGAATTGTCAGTCAGTGTCCACTACGTCAGGCATCATGTTATTTTGTTAGATTTTTTTCAGGTATATGTTTCTGATTTAAAACACACACACACTCACGTCTCATTTAAAACATGCACATGTGCACACTCACACACGCACATGTGCACATGCATGCACACACACAGGATTCCTTCTCATTTCTGCTTTAGAGAGGGTGAAGCTGAGCTTCTCCAGAGGTTGCTTGCAGAGTCATGTAGCAAGAGAGGGTGGAGTGTGGGTTTCTAGCCACCTCCCTGAGTCCAGTGTTTTTATTCTTAACCATTATGCCACCCCTGTGGCTTCTACCTGAAGTAGTTTCTAGCCTTGCGAGGGAGTCAGACGCGTGGGGCGTGCGGTCAGGAAGGCCTGGGAGTTGCCATCAGGGTGATTGTTAGAAGCGACTGGGAGATCACGGAAGCTTTGAAATCGGTGATCCTCCATCTGAGTTTTGTTAGAACCTTCATTTCTTCCATGTGTCTTAACAAAGAGGTGTTGTCCTAAATTACTGTTATTAAAAGGCCAACATAATAAGAGGAAGAGAGCATGGGGTCAGGTTTTAAAAGCTGTTTTCACGGGTGGTGTGATGTTGCCAAGTCTATAAATTTTCCCTTCAGCTAGTTTCCTCTTCGTTTATTCATTTTATGAAATAAGCATTTATGTATTGACCATTATTTTTGTGTTTGTTCTAAGTGCCTTATAAATATTTAATCCTCGCAACCACTCAGTGAATTACTATCCCCATTTCACAGATAAGGGAAACTGAGGCACAGAGGGCTTTCATGCCCTGTTCCAGGTCATGCAGCTACACGTACAAGCTGGGACTCCTTCCTAGACGGTCAGGCTCCAGATACTGCTCCTGGCTGCCTCTTCATGTATCTGCTGTTCATTTATTCACTGAACAAGCATTTATTGTGCCACACTCCGTGCCAGGTGCTGATCTCAGTGCTGGGGGTGTAGCAGCAATTCAGATGAATTCAGAGCCAGGCAGATGACGTGACCGTAAGGAACGGATACTTCAGGGTTATGGAGGTGTTTGAAGACGTAGAGAAGGAAGCAGATTTCAGACATTATTTTTGATAGTAACAGACTCCTGTGCCTATTATAGAATGTTCAGACTCCACCTTGTTGAGATTAATTATAAGCCATGTGCCTCAAAGGGAAGTGAGTTAAAGGAATCTCCTAATATTCTGTTTTTGTTTTTAAAAATTTGATTCAAAGAATATTGGAGAATTTGAACTAGTCGCTTTTCTGCTTAGTTCAAACCAGCCCTGTCGTTTTTCTTACTGAATTAGCACAGTAACTGGCTTTGTGTTTGTTTACTGAGTTGGCTGATTAAACAGGCTTTTTGAGTTCCCCCATTGTCTGCTTGAATAAATCTAATGTTTTTTTGACATGGGGTCTCACTGTCATCCAGGCTGGAGCACAGAGGCAGAATCACAGCTCACTGCAGCCTCAAACTCCCAGGCTCAAGCGATTCTCCCACCTCAGCCTCCTGAGTAGCTGGGACTACAGGCATGTGCCGCCACGCCTGGCTAATTTTGTATTTTTTGTAGAGAAGGGATTGTCCCATGTTTCCCAGGCTAGTAAACCTAATTTTTAATTGCTTTTTTTTCTTCTCGAGATGCTGCCCAGTACAAGTACGGCAAGAACCGGGTAGAAGCAGATGCCAAGCGGCTACAGACCAAAGAAGAGGAGCTGCTGAAGAGGAAAGAGGCCCTGCGGAATAGGCTGGCCCAGCTCCGCAAGGAAAGAAAGGACCTTCGAGCGGCCATTGAAGTGAACGCAGGTATGAAGGATGCGGGTGACTGCCCAGGGTGCATGTTTGTATTGGGAGACTGGAGATTTCATTCTGCTTTGCCAAAGGACCTGTTGCTCACCAAGGCTGCCATTTTATTTAGTAAGAGTAGGTTATTTATTTGGTAAGAGTGAGTTATTTGGTAAGAATGGGTGGGTTGGTGAGAGTTAGTTGGTAAGAGTGGGTTAGTAAGTGCGTTAGTGGGTTAGTAAGTGGGTTGGTGAGAATGGGTAAGAGTGGGTGATTTGGTGAGAGTGAGTTGGTAAGAGTGGGTTAGTTGGTGAGAGTGGGTTAGTTGGCGAGAGTGGGTTATTTGGTAAGAGTGGGTTAGTTAGAGTGGGTTATTTGGTGAGAGTGGGTTAGTTGGTGAGTGGGTGAGCGTGGGTTAGTGGGTTAGTTGGTGAGAGTGGGTTAGTGGGTGAGAGTAAGAATGGGTAAGAGTGGGTGAGTTGGTAAGAGTGGGTTAGTTGGTGAGAGTGGGTTAGTGGGTGAGAGTGGGTTAGTAAGAGTGGGTTAGGTGGTGAAGTGGGTTAGTTGGAGAAGTGGGTTAGTAAGTGGTTAGTTGGTGAGAGTGGGTTAGTGGGTGAGAGTGGGTTAGTTGGAGAGAGTGGGTTAGTAAGTGGGTTAGTTGGTGAGAGTGGGTTAGTGGGTGAGAGTGGGTTAGTTGGAAAGTGGGTTAGTAAGTGGGTTAGTTGGTGAGGTGGGTTAGTGGGTGAGAGTAGAGTGGGTGATTGGTGGTGTGAGTTGGTAAGAGTGGGTTAGTTGGTGAGTGTGGGTGTATTTGGTAGAGTATGGGTTAGAGTGGGTTATTTGGTGAGAGTGGGCGAGGAGTGGGTGAGTGGGTTAAGTAGGTGAAAGTGGGTTGGGAGAGTGGGTTAGTTGGTGAGAGTGGGTTAGTGGTGAGAGTAAGTGGGTGATTTGGTGAGTGTGAGTTGGTAAGAGTGGGTTAGTTGGTGAGTGTGGATTATTTGGTAAGAGTGGGTTAGTTAGAATGGGTTAGTTGGTGAGAGTGGGTTAGTTGGTGAGTGGGTTAGCAAGAGTGGGTTAGTTGGTGAGTGGGCTAGTGGGTGAGAGTGGGTGAGAATTAGGTTAGTTGGTGAGTGGGTTAGTGGGTGAGAGTGGGTTAGCGGGTAAGAGTGGGTTAGTAAGAGTGGGTTAGTAGGTGAGAGTGGATTAGTTAGTAGAGTGGGTTAGTTGGTATGAGGTGGGATTGTTTGGTGACAGCAAGTTGGTAAGAGTGGGTTAGTCGATTGTGAGTGGGTGAAGTGGGTTAGTAAGAGTGGGTTAGTTGGTGAAAGTGGGTTAATTAGTAAGAGTGAGTTGGTGGTGTTGGGTGAGAGTGGGGTTAGTAAAGTAGGTTAGTTGGTGAAAGTAGGTTAATTAGTAAGAATGGGTTAGTAAGAGTGGGTTAGTTGGTGTTAGTTGGGTTAGTGGGTGAGAGTGAATTTAGCGGGTGAGAGTGGGTAAGAGTGGGTTAGTTAGAGTGGGTTAGTGTGAGTGGGTTAGTTGGTGAGAGTGGGTTAATTAGTAAAGTGGGTTAGTTGGTAAAGTGGGTTAATTAGTAAGTGGGTTAGTAAGAGTGGATTAGTTGTGAGTGGGTTAGTGGGTGAGAGTGGATTATTTGGTGAGAGTAAGAGTGGGTTAATTTAAATTGAGTGGGTTAGTGGGTGAGAGTGGGTTGCGTGGTTTATTTGTTGTTGAAGAGTGGGCTAGTTGAAGTGGGTTAATTAGTAAGAGTGAAGCAGTAAGAGTGGGTTAATTGGTGTGAGTGGGTCAGTGGGTGAGAGTGGGTTACTGGGTGAGAGTGGGTTAGTGGTTTATTTGGTGAGAGTGGGCTAGTAAAAGTGGGTTAGTTGGTGAAAGTGGGTTAATTAGTAAGAGTGGCTTAGTAAGTGGGTCAGTGGGTGAGGAGTGGGTTAGTAAGAGTGGGTTGAATTGTGAGTGCTTTAGTTGGTGAAATTGGGTTAGTGGTTATTTGGTGTGAGTGGGTTAGTTGGTAAGAGTGGGTTACTTGGTGTGAGTGGGAGTGGGTTAGTGGGTTATTTGGTAAGAGTGGGTTAGTAAGAGCAGGTTAGTTGGTGAGAGTGGGTGAGTTGGTGTGAGTGGGTTAGTGGATGAGGTGGGGTTATTTGGTGAGAGTGGATTAGTAAGAGTGGGTTAGTTGGTGTGAGTGGGAGTGGGTTAGTGGGTTATTTGGTAAGAGTGGGTTAGTAAGAGCAGGTTGGTTGGTGTGAGTGGGTGAGTTGGTGAGAGTGGGTGAGTTGGTGTGAGTGGGTTAGTGGATGAGAGTGGGTTATTTGGTGAGGAGTGGATTAGTAAGAGTGGGTTAGTTGGTGTGGTGGGAGTAGGTTAGTGGGTTATTTGGTAAGAGTGGGTTAGTAAGAGCAGGTTAGTTGGTGTGAGTGGGTGAGTTGGTGAGAGTGGGTGAGTTGGTGTGATGGGTTGAGTGGATGAGAGTGGGTTATTTGGTGAGAATTAGTTAGTAGGTGGGTTAGTTGGTGTGAGTGGGTGGGAGTGCGTGAGAGTGGGTGAGTGGGTAGCAGTGGGTGAGTTGGTGAGTGGGTTAGTTGATGTGCAGATGGGTTAGTGGGTTATTTGGTGAGAGTGAGTTGAAGAGTGGGTGAGAGTGGGTGAGTGGGTGGGAGTGGGTCAGTTGGTGAAATTGGGTTAGTGGGTTATTTGGTAAGTGGGTTAGTAAGAGTGGGCTAGTGGGTGAGAGTGGGTGAGTGGGTGGGAGTGGGTCAGTTGGTGAGAGTGGGTTAGTGGGTTATTTGGTAAGAGTGGGTTAGTAAGAGTGGGCTAGTGGGTGAGAGTGGGTTAGTGGTGAAATTAGGTTAGTTGAGTGAAAGTGGGTTAATAAGAGTGGGTTAGTAAGAGTGGGTTAGTTGGTGTGAGTGGGTTGGTGGGTTATTTGGTGAGAAGTAAGAGAGTGGGTTAGTTGGTGAGAGTGGGCGAGAGTGGGTTAGTAAGAGTGGGTTATTTGGTGAGAGTGGGTTAGTGGGTGAGGAAGTAAGTGGGTTAGTGGATGAGTGGGTTAGTGGATGAGAGTGGGCTTGTAAGAGTGGGTTAGTTGGTGAAAGTGGGTTAATTAGTAAGAGTGGCTTAGTAAGAGTGGGTTAGTTGAGTGTGAGTGGGTGAGGGTAGGTTAGTAAGAGTGGGTTAGTTGGTGTGGGTGGGTTAGTAAGAGTGGGTTACTTGGTGTGAGTGGGTTAGTGTGTGGTGAGAAGTGGAGTTAGTTGGTGTGAGTGGGTGAGAGTGGGTTGGTGGGTGAGGTGGGTAAGTGCTGCGTGGGAGTGGGTTAGGCGGTGAGAGTTGGTGAGAGTGGGTGTGAGTGGGTCAGTTGGTGAGAGTGGGTTGGTTGGTGTGAGTGGGTTAGTGGGTTATTTGGTGAGAGTGGGTTAGTTGGTGAAAGTGGGTTAGTAAGGGTAGGTTAGGGGTGAGGTGGGTTAGTAGGTGGGAGTGGGTTAGTAAGAGTGAGTTAGTGGGTGGGAGTGGGTTAGTAAGAGTGGGTTAGTGGATGAGCGTGGGTTATTTGGTGAGTAAGAGTGGGTTAGTGGGTGAGAGTGGGTTAGTGGGTTGAGAGTGGAGTTAGTAAGAGTGGGTTAGTTGATGTGAGTGGGTTAGTGGGTGGGAGTGGGTTAGTGGGTGAGAGTGGGTTAGTGGGTGAGGGTGGGTAGAGTGGGTTAGTGGGTGAAGTGGTTAGTAAGAGTGGGTTAGTTGATGTGGAGTGGGGTTAGTGGTGAGAGAGTGGGTTAGTGGGTGAGGGTGGGTAAGAGTGGGTTAGTTGATGTGAGTGGGTTAGTGGGTGAGAGTGGGTTAGTGGGTGAGGGTGGGTAAGAGTGGGTTAGTGGGTGAGAGTGGGTTAGTAAGAGTGGGTTAGTTGATGTGAGTGGGTTAGTGGGTGAGAGTGGGTTAGTGGGTGAGGGTGGGTTAGTAAGAGTGGGTTAGTGGGTGAGAGTGGGTTAGTGGGTGAGAGTGGGTAAGAGTGGGTTAGTAGGTGAGAGTGGGTTAGTGGGTGAGGGCGGGTTAGTAAGAGTGGATTAGTGTTCCAAGCTTGCAGGATAGTGAAGATGCAGGAAGGCCAGGGGTGCTTTTGGCTTTGAAAAAGAGAACCTCGCCTGCTGGCAGCACCGGCCCAGGCCCTGGGCACAAGTCCGTTCACCTCTTGGGATTGATGTTCTCATCTGTCCAGTGGGTGTGTCTTAGGTCACTGCAGCAAACCTCAAATAAAATAAGTGAACGTTCCTTAAAGAAACGTGTGCCATGTCTAGTAGAGATGCAAGCTGTGCTACTGTTCATTGCCTTGGGGGCAAATAAGATGACTGAGGGATCGGTGGAGCGTTAGGGAAGGACGGGGTTCACACCCCAATGCAGTGGCAGCTTCAGGAACTGTGGAGTTTAGGGTCCACATTTCAAAATGAGTACATTGAGTCCCAGAGCCAGGAGCTCCCAGCCTTGGTGAGAATCAGCGTCTCCCGTTGCCTGGTCCGAGTCCTCACAGCTACAGCAAAGGGAAGTGGTTGGAGAAGGACGCTGGTCCCTTAGAGAACTGCTGAATTTAAGTTTTGCAATGAGGACCTAAGTCAGGGGAGCTCAACCTCAAACGTTTTGTGGAAGTTCTTTTCGGGGACCAGGTGCCTTCTCTGTTGTTTGGAGAGCCTGTGCCGGCCGCGGGAGTAAGGGCGTTTCTGGGAATTCCAGGCAGGAAGCCACAGGCGATTCTGGAGGAGAAGCTGAAGCAGCTGGAGGAGGAGTGCCGGCAGAAGGAGGCGGAGCGCGTCAGCCTGGAGCTGGAGCTGACGGAGGTCAAGGAGAGCCTGAAGAAGGCACTGGCGGGCGGAGTCACCCTGGGGCTGGCCATCGAGCCCAAGTCAGGAACATCGAATCCACAGGTGTGTGTCCTGGCTCACCTTGGAGGCTGGCGCGGCCTTGCGTGACCAAGAGCCAGTGCACCCAGAGAGAATGTGGAGTGGCTCTGGGGCGTAGCTTGCTTGTGGCCCCTTAGCGTGCCCAGCAGAAGACAGTTCATGTGTTAGCATCAGACACTTTCATCAGCCAGGCCTATGTTCCCGACATGCTTTCTTACCTCTTGCTGAAATGTTAAAAGGCATGGAAACACTGAGTCTGTGCCTTTCCTCTTTGCACCATCTGTTTAGAACAGATCCAGTCCTCATGTCTCTTCTGAACCAGGTCCTAATTTGCCACCGCTTCATCAGATAGCCAGTCCTTATAGACCGTCGAGCATGTCTGAGAGTTCAGCCAGGTGCTGGGGAAACTGAAGTGAATGGCGCGGTCTGTGTCCTCTTAGAATCGAACAGAACAAAGCGGTCCCCTCTTCCCTCATGAGTCTTCCCCGTCCCTGGTTCCTCTTCACTCATTCGGTGCGGTCGCTGAGAACTTAGATGTCTTCTCCATTTGGTCATTCTGCTGAGTCTCCTGTCTTGTGAGTTGGATGCCGTCACTTCCACTGAGTGAGGGAGGCACTGGGCCCAGAGGAGTAAACACGCCTGCAGGGCAGACAGAACAGGCAGCCGGTGAGAGACGGCTGGACTTCAGCCCCTGTCCCAGCCGAAACACCGCGGGCGCCCCTGGGTCCCCACCCACTGCGTCCTGAATGCTTCCCTTCTAGGTCCTTCTTTCCCAACCCCTTGGTAAAACGCTGAGCCTGGTTGAGCCCACCGCTGCTCCACGTGAGCCTTGGGCGGGTTTGTGGGGAAGACTGACACGCTTATGGGTTGACAACAGCCCTGAGTTTCAGTCACCTGCTGGCCCCTGCCAGGCACCCCCGTACGGCCTGCTCTTCCTTACTCTCCCCTTCTCTTCCGAGCCCCCCATCCCTGCACCAGGCTTCTGTGGCACCCCAGCCATCACCTCCAACCCAGAGGACAACCTCCCTCCTGCCTGCAGAGCTGAGCAAGCAGCGAGGTCACTGCTCTGTCCTCAAACCACAAACCCAGCCACTCGTGCACAGTTCTTTCGGGTGTTCAAGAGGCGGCTCTGGGGTCACACAGACCAGGGCTTAAAATCACTGGACTTCTCTAGGCCCTGAGTTTTTCATCTGTAAAATGGAGAAAATAATAATGGCCGCCGCACAGGACTGTGTGCAGAGGCTTTTGGAACAGCACTCACCGAAGCACCTGTGTTCGATCCCATCTTCCCAAACGTGCACATGCCTGCATTCATTCATTCCGCTCACCCGGCAATCGCTTGCTGATATCATCACATACATTATGTATTACATAAAATCATAGAAATTCAACATTTATCTATTATATATAAAAATAGTTATTTATGCGAGATACATACTATTTCATATATAAAGGTGTGTGTGTACACACATATGTATATGCTGTGATCCTTCTTGAACTCCTGGGCTCAAGTGCTCCTCCCACCTCACCTCTTGAGTCGCTGTGGTTACCGGCGGGGGCCACCGTGCCCCGCCCATGTTCTGTTCTCCCTCTGTGTGCTACAAACGACTCCAGGCCTGCAGTTGTGAACAAGATAGGTGAGAATCCCCGTTTCATGGAGCTTATATTCTCGTGAGGGAGGCAAACCAATAAAATACGTTGGTGTCAGATGCGGACAGATCTGTGGCAACAGTGAAGCAGGGCTGAGGAGGAGGGGTGCAGGGGGAATTGGAATCCAAGGTGGGTGTCCCTAGCCCCTCAGCCAGCAGAAATGGGGACAAGAGCATGGTGGGGTCAGGTGCAGTGAGAGTGGCAGTGAAGCTGTGGGCATTGGCTGGGGTAGGGCAGGGGTCTTTGCCTGCTTCATGGAGCCCTGTGCCCCTCCGTCTGTGGTGATCTGAGGCAGGAGTACACACAGTCCCCTGTGCTGCTTGTCCTGTGTCCTGCGTGGAGGGTGGTGGCAGTGCAGGATGCTCTGAGGAGCTGTCCCGCCCCTGTCCTCTGGTCCTGTTTGAGTGGAGGGCTGGGCTTCCTGGACTCTGGTCAGTGCCTCGATCCGACCCTTCCTGACTTCCAGACACCTGGGAGGAGCCTTCTCCTGTATCTTCAGCTTTTCTGTCAGCTTTTGCCAAGCATTTCAGGATTCTCTAGTTGAATCCATCCTTACAAAAAGAAGGTTCCGCCTGGCCTGCTGCTCCTCCTGGTGACTGTCTCCTTGCCCTGTGTTCTTGCCTTTCCTTCCAAGGTGAGCTTCAGAAGTAGTTGTCCATGCTTGCAGTGTCCTCTGCCCCCTGACACCTCCACTTTCCGAGTGTGGCTTATTGCACCTGCTTTCGTCATGGTGACCCCCAGCATTCCCCTCCAGCAGACATGTTAGTCCTCACTCCCCGATCCGGTGCCCTTTGGCACAGCTGCCCATTCTCTTCTGTGGTGGCTCCACGTTCTTCCACCCCCATCACCCGAGCTTCCCTCAGGCCCCTTTTCCAGCTCCTGCCTCGCCACCCCCCTCACTTTTCCTTTGGCCCAAGTATCCTTTGGGGGCCTGGGCCTGGCTTGCCGCCTCCGCTTCCCCTGTCCCAGTCCACCGTGCTTTGTGACTTCCCCTCTCTTTTGAGGGCGGATGTCCTTGGTGCCATCTTCTGTCCCAGCACCTGGGGAAGCACTCTGCACCGCTGCTGCCCAGACCGTGTCCTCGGGAGAGTGGCTTGTTCGGTGGACCCCTCTCAAGATGCAGGTCTTCGGGTCACCTGCCCCTTTTACTCACAGCCTGGCCTGGCCTCTGCCAGACAGAGATGTCCTCATCATCATTCCATTGTGTTCACTCACCACTACCCAGGCTTCCTCCCTGGCAGCCAGGGACTGCCACCGCGTAAGTCAAGTTGGCTGCCTGGGGGTTGTGGTCAGTAAAGCCCACAGGGGACCCTGAGCTGCCCATTTTCACGGTAATTGAAACACTGTTCTAAAACAGCATGCCATATACCCTGAGCAATATTTTTTACATAACACATTTTGGCAGGAATCCTAGGAAGCATCTCTTCCTTGGAGACTTCATTTGAGAGAAGGCTCAGCAGACTGTGGCATTTTTTTCCCAGAGAGCGGTTTGGGATCCCATATGGAAGAGCCAGCGATGGGGGCCTTGGCAGCTCAGGACACACGTTGTTCTATTTTGAGTCTTCCTGAACACCTCCTCCTTTGGCATATGGAAGCTGCCGTAAACACTCGGAAGGCCTCTGTGCTTATGGAGCCTGCTTTTCCCCCGCGAGCCCCACTCCGTGGGGCTGCCTCCCGGGAGCCAGTTCTGCCCCAAGTGATGGCGCTTTCTGCTACTTCAACATCTCTAGGACACTCACCCCAGAAAAACTCTGAAAACCATAAAGCCCTGCACAAAGGGACTGACTAGCCTGTGTGGAAGAGCCTCACTTTGAGTGCAAAAGATTCAGGCAGGAATCCCACCCTCACCGCTTCCCAGGCATGGCTGGGAGTCGGAGCACCCCTTGGAGCCTCCACCAGCCCCTCAGAGCCTCTGCCCCCTGGCTGTGAATGTTGGGAGGCGCTCTGGGGGTGAGGCACTGACTGCCTAGCAGTCCTTCCTGCCGCTGCGATTTTTGCCCATTTCCAGAACTTACTTCTTCCTTGAAATAAATCATTTTCCTGCTGGATAATACCAGTGGCCTAGAAACCACTCCTCACATGGCGTTCTCTCTCTGTTAAGTCTCCAGTGTTCAGGCACCGGACCCTGGAGAACTCGCCTATCTCCAGCTGTGACACCAGTGACACCGAGGGCCCCGTGCCGGTGAACAGCGCGGCTGTCCTGAAGAAGAGCCAGGTGGCCCCGGGCAGCTCCCCCTGCCGAGGACATGTGCTGCGGAAGGCCAAGGTGAGCCCTGATTTCTGGGGGCACTGGTCTGGGGGTGTCGGGGATCTTTAACCTCCCAGCATTCTCAGGTGTGAATAGGGAGCCTATTCTTCTTCTGCTCCATCCACTTGGCACTCAGCCTTCAGTAGACATCTTGGAATGGGTGCTTATCGAGCTCTCACCACCCCGCAGATCCTGTTAGGAAGCGGGTTCTCAAAGGTGAACAGTGACCCAAAGGTGCTGACCATTTAGCCCCAGTGCCAACAGTCGGCTCCAGGGTCATCTCAGACGCAGGCAAGCCCTGGACTCCTCTGGACTAGTTTTCTCATTGGTGGGGTGGAGATTAGACCAGGCGACCCCTGAAGTCCTCTTCAGCACTTAGATGTGTTTCTTTAGAAAAACAAAGAAAAAGATCTACCAAGCAAATGGAAAACAAAAAAAAAGCAAGAGTTGCAATCCTAGTCTCTGATAAAACAAACTTTAAACCATCAAAGATCAAAAGAGACAAAGAAGGCCATTACATAATGGTAAAGGGATCAATTCATCAGGAAGAGCTAACTATCCTAAATATATATTCACCCAACACAGGAGCACCCAGATTCATAAAGCAAGTCCTTAGAGACTTACAAAGAGACTTAGGTTCCCATACAATAATAATGGGAGACTTTATTGTCAACATTAGACAGATAAACAAGACAGAAAGTCAACAAGGATATCTGGGAATTGAACTCAGCTCTGCTCCAAGTGGAACTAATAGACATCTACAGAACTCTCCACCCCAAATCAACAGAATATACATTCTTCTCAGCACCACATCGCACTTATTCCAAAATTGACCACATAGTTGGAAGTAAAGCACTCATCAGCAAATGTAAAAGAACAGAAATGATAACAAACTGTCTCTCAGACCACAGTGCAATCAAACTAGAACTCAGGACTAAGAAACTCAATCAAAACCACTCAACTACATGGAAACTGCACAACCTGCTCCTGAATGACTACTGGGTACATAACGAAATGAAGGCAGAAATAAAGATGTTCTTTGAAACCAGTGAGAACAAAGATACAACATACCAGAATCTCTGGGACACATTTAAAGCAGTGTGTAGAGGGAAATTTTTATAGCACTAAATGCCCATAGGAGAAAGCAGGAGAGATCTAAAATTGACACCCTAGCATCACAATTAAAAGAACCAGAGAAGCAAGAGCAAACACATTCAAAAGCTAGCAGAAGGCAAGAAATACCTAAGATCAGAGCAGAACTGAAGGAGATAGAGACACAAAAAACCCTCCAAAAAATCAGTGAATCCAGGAGCTGATTTTTTGAAAGGATCAACAAATTTGATAGACTGCTAGCAAGACTAATAAAGAATTAAAGAGAGAAGAATCAAATAGACGCAGTAAAAAATGATAAAGGGGATATCACGACCGACCCCACAGAAATACAAACTACCATCAGAGAATACTATAAACACCTCTACACAAATAAACTAGAAAACCTAGAAGAAATGGATAAATTCCTGGACACATACACTCTCCCAAGACTAAACCAGGAAGAAGTTGAGTCCCTGAATAGACCAATAGCGGGCTCTGAAATTGAGGCAATAATTAATAGCCTACCAACCAAAAAAAGTCCAGGACCAGACGGATTCACAGCCGAATTCTACCAGAGGTACAAGGAGGAGTTGGTACCATTTCTTCTGAAACTATTCCAATCAATAGAAAAAGAGGGAATCCTCCCTAACTCATTTTACGAGGCCAACATCATCCTGATACCAAAGCCTGACAGAGATACAACAAAAAAAGAGAATTTTAGACCAATATCCCTGATGAACATCGATGCAAAAATTCTCAATAAAATACTGGCAAACCGAATCCAGCAGCACATCAAAAAGCTTATCCACCATGATCAAGTGGGCTTCATCCCTGGGATGCAAGGCTGGTTCAACATATGCAAATCAATAAACGCAATCCAGCATATAAACAGAACCAAAGACAAAAACCACATGATTATCTCAATAGATGCAGAAAAGGCCTTTGACAAAGTTCAACAGTCCTTCATGCTAAAAACTCTCAATAAATTCGTTATTGATGGAACATATCTCAAAAGAATAAGAGCTATTTATGACAAAGCCAATATCATACTGAATGGGCAAAAACTGGAGGCATTCCCTTTGAAAACTAGCACAAGACAGGGATGCCCTTTCTCACCACTCCTATTCAACATAGTGTTGGAAGTTCTGACTAGGGCAGTCAGGCAAGAGAAAGAAATAAAGGGTATTCAGTTAGGAAAAGAAGAAATCAAATTGTCCCTGTTTGCAGATGACATGATTGTATATTTAGAAAACCCCATTGTCTCAGCCCAAAATCTCCTTAAGCTGATAAGCAACTTCAGCAAAGTCTCAGGATACAAAATCAATGTGCAAAAATCGCAAGCATTCGTATACACCAATAACAGACAGAGAGCCAAATCATCAATGAACTCCCATTCACAATAGCTTCAAAGAGAATAAAATACCTAGGAATCCAACTTACAAGGATGTAAAGGACCTCTTCAAGGAGAACTACAAACCTTGAAGTTTGTAGTGAAGTTTGAAGCTCAGTGAAGTAAAAGAGGACACAAACCATCCTCCTGGGTAGGAAGAATCAGTATTGTGAAAATGGACATACTGCCCAAGGAAATTTATAGATTCAATGCTATCCCCATTAAGCTACCAATGACTTTCTTCACAGAATTGGAAAAAACTGCTTTAAAGTTCATATGGAACCAAAAAAGACCCTGCATTGCCAAGACAATCCTAAGCCAAAAGAACAAAGCTGGAGGCATCACGTTACCTGACTTCAAACTATACTACAAGGCTACAGTAACCAAAACAGCATGGTACTGGTACCAAAACAGAGATATAGACCAATGGAACAGAACAGAAACCTCAGAAATAATACCACACATCTACAGCCATCTGGTCTTTGACAAACCTGAGAAAAACAAGAAATGGGGAAAGGATTCCCTATTTAATAAATGGTGCTGGGAAAATTGGCTAGCCATAAGTAGAAAGCTGAAACTGGATCCTTTCCTTACTCCTTATACGAAAATTAACTCGAGATGGATTAGAGACTTAAATGTTAGACCTAAAACCATAAAAACCCTAGAAGAAAACCTAGGTAATACCATTCAGGACATAGGCATGGGCAAAGACTTCATGTCTAAAACACCAAAAGCAACAACAACAAAAGCCAAAATTGACAAATGGGATCTAATTAAACTAAAGAGCTGCTGTACAGCAACAGAAACTACCATCAGAGTGAACAGGCTACCTACAGAATGAGAGAAAATTTTTGCAATCTACTCATCTGACAGAGGGCTAATATCCAGAACCTACAAAGAACTCAAACAAATTTACAAGAAAAAAGCAAACAACCCTATCAAAAAGTAGGCAAAGGATATGAACAGACACTTCTCAAAAGAAGACATTCATACAGCCAACAGACACATGAAAAAATGCTCATCATCACTCGCCGTCAGAGAAATGCAAATCAAAACCACAATGAGATGCCATCTCACACCAGTTAGAATGGCAGTCATTAAAAAATCAGGAAACAGGTGCTGGAGAGGATGTGGAGAAATAGGAACACTCTTACACTGTTGGTGGGACTGTAAGCTAGTTCAACCATTGTGGAAAACAGTATGGCGATTCCTCAAGGATCTAGAACTAGAAATACCATTTGACCCAGCCATCCCATTACTGGGGATATACCCAAAGGATTATAAGTCATGCTGCTATAAAGACACATGCACACGTATGTTTATTGCGGCACTATTCACAATAGCAAAGACTTGGAGTCAACCCAACTGTCCATCAATGACAGACTGGATTAAGAAAATGTGGCACATATACACCATGGAATACTATGCAGCCATAAAAAAGAATGAGTTTGTGTCCTTTGTAGGGACAGGGATGCAGCTAGAAACCATCATTCTCAGCAAACTGTCGTAAGAACAGAAAACCAAACACCGCATGTTCTCACTCATAGGTGGGAATTGAACAATGAGATCACTTGGACACAGGAAGGGGAACATCACACACCGGGTCCTATTGTGGGGAGGGGGGAGGGGGGAGGGATAGCATTAGGAGATACACCTAATGTAAATGACAAGTTAATGGGTGCAGCAAACCAACATGGCACATGTATACCTATGTAACAAACCTGCACATTGTACACATGTACCCTAGAACTTAAAGTATTATAAAAAAATAAAAAATTAGACAAAAAAAAAAAAGAAGAGAGCCCAGGAATAAACTTGCCTCCAGCCCCCTCCCTAGCACCGCCAGCTGCGTGAGTCAGGCTCTGAGGGCCTCGGAGGAACTTCTTTAGTCCCTCCTGAGGCAGCATCCAGTCTTCTCATGGGATTAGCCACTGGCACGTTTTGATGCTAAACTTTAAAACCTCAGAAATTTTTAAAACACAGTCGTTGATCAAAGCAAACGGGTCCTGGCTGCAGCCGCAGAAAGTGCTGCGTGTGTGAAAGCGCACGGCTTATGATGGCATGAGCTGGGGAGCCGTAGGAGTGTGGTTTGCCCCACCCCGAGGGGCTGGAACACGGGAGCCCTCCCTGTACCGGCTCTGTGGGTTCCTCTCACTGCCGGAATTAACTTTTCTTTCTTTTTTTTTGAGGCAGGGCCTCACTCTGTGGCCCAGGCTGAATACAGTGGTGCCATCACAGCTCACCACAGCCTTGACCTCCTGGGCTCAGTTGATCCTCCCACCTCAGCCTCCCAAGTAGCTGGGACTACGGGTGTACACCAATATGCCCAGCTAATTTATTGTATTTTTTGTAGAGATGAGGTTTGGCAGTATCGCCCAGGCTGGTGTCGAACTCCTGGGCTCGGGTGATCCTCCTACCTCCCGAAGTGCTGGATTACAGGCGTGAGCCGCTGCGCCCAGCCGGGCATTCTTTGCGGCTTTTGGAACGCACTCTGAGTTGGCAGGAATAGGTGCTTCCTGCGAGATGGGAATATGAGTACCGCCCACCTGCTGTGCTCTTTGGGGTGCTCACAGGAGGGCCCCTAAGAAACTTGGCTGTCCCCAGCTGTCCCCCAGAACAGCAGTCCTCCATGGCAGATCCATGTACTGAAGACCGTGTGTGTTGGTGAGTCTGGGGAAGGGAGGAATGACTGTCATCCCCGTTGCTTTTCTTCGTATTTGCCAAGTGTTCTCAGCTGGTGACCACTGGGCTCGCTGATGGAGGAATATGTTTTGCCTGGGGGGTGTTTAGAACTGAGCTGCCTGATGACATCCCGCTAAGGACCTGCAGATGAGAGATGCTGTAAATGGACTTCATCTATTTAGTTTCTTTATCATCGAAGAAATTGGACTGAAAATTCTGTGGTCCCGACCCTCGAAAGGGCTCCTGTCACTGTGTGCGCTTCCGTCGCGCAGAGGTTCAGGCGCCCCCTCCCTTCTGCTCCCTCTCGGTGAATGGGAAGCGGGTGATCCTGGGCCACCTCAGATGCACAGCCAGCTGTCCAGACGGGTCCCCACTGACAGGTCCAGAAAACAGCGGAAGCCCCTCTCGTCCCTCCAGCTGAGAATCTTGTTGCAGAAGTCGGAAGGGGACAGACTGAGCAGGGTTTCCCAGGATTTCTGAGAACAGTGACAAGGGACCCCTGGTTGGAGGTGGGGATTGTGGCGGAGCCTGTAGACGCTGAGAACTGAATGCATTTGGGTATTGTAAACTTGTCATCTGCCTCCTGCCTTTTTCTGAGGACCAAGGGGTCTGACGTATTCTGGCTGTGGGAATACTACTCAGCTGCGGTATTCCTGAAATACCTTCCAACTCTCGGTGCGGAGCACTGAGCACGAGAGAGGGTTCTAGAAAGTCAGACGGCTTCCAGTCCCATGCCCCAGGGCTTCCTGGCTCAGAACCACCCACCAGGCACAGCTGCGGCCAGGTGTCCCTTCCCTTCATCTGGGCAGGCCATGTGCCAAGGGACATCCAGGCATGGAAACTGTGGCTCCGCTCTGGGAGGTGCCTGAGGGGCAGGTGCTGAGCTGCTCCAGATTTCGTGCCACTCCCTCTAGTGACACATTCACCTGGAGATTCTGTTTCCTGCCCTGCTCTGAGTTGAGTGGAGTCTACAGGTTCTCATCCTTTCACTTATTCTGTGGCCAGTGTGACCTGGGCTTGGAAATGTCACTGTTTCCTAGACTTGTTTGTTAAACATATGTGGCACCATGTGGAGGTAACATGGGGTCTTCCCTCTCTCAAACCCCCACTGCCTGGGAGGAAATGGGGGATGTGTACGACAGAGGACTGCCCTTGAGCGCCGACCTCGTGACCTTGTCCCCTGGGCATCTTCTCTGCTTACAACAGCCCACATAGCTATCCCAGGGAGGCTGCTGAAGGGGCAAGAAGGCATGAGGCGTACCCAGCTAACCATCCTCCCCTCTGCAGAATACTTCCGCCAAGAGTCAGAGTGCCTCAGCATGGTTTTATCATCGCTGCGGTTTGGTGTTTATATCTGACAGATTTGCTAGCATTGTGCATTTAACCATGAGTTGAACTTGAGCTCTTGATTGAGAAAAGGTGAGAAATTGTTCAGTGTATGCAGCATGCAGAGACGTGCAGTGTACTCATGACCCAGTTAATGAGCTCCTGGAAAGAGAGTGGGAGTCAGGCATCTGCATCGCGGCACAGGGTCACTGGGCACAGAGAAGAAAGCCCGTGTTTGGTGGCCAGGCTCATGGTGTGCCGGCTGCTGTGGGCGGGGCTTTCACAGAGCCTTTCTCCTTTGATCTTCCCAATCACGCTTTGAAGTCTTTGGTGGGACTCACATTGTACCAAGGCTCAGAGAGATGAAGCAACTTCTCCAACCCACCCCCCCCCAGTGGCTGAGGCACAGAAAGTCTGGCCCTGGCATCTGTGCCTTCTGCTGTCTTCCTCCAGAGCCATCCATGCCAGGGAACTGAGGGCTTCTGTCCTGCATGGTGCTGCTGCTGCTCTGACCTGCGTCTGCTCTTCCGCCTCCTCTTTCTGGAACTCAATCCCATGACCAAACCCCATTTCAGATCCCCCCATTTCAAATCCACATAGCTCCAGAGACCAGGAGTAGCCCAGGCGTCTGCCTCTGTGCAGCTGCACTGGGTGTTGAGGACCCAAAGATGAGTGGCTGGAAAGGAAGAAGCGAGGAAGAACATGGAGGGTGTGTATCCGGTAGGGAGGGGCAGGTGCATTTATTGCTGTGACATGGCTTGTTGAAAAGCACAGAAACTGCACAGAAGATGGGAGCATTGCCTCCCTGAGTCAGGGCAGGAAGGGGCACAGGGTAGGGGGAAATCACTGAAGCCTAGTCCTCAGGATACATGAGGCTGGCCAGGTGACGTCAGGAGGAGAACGGGCATGGGTGTGTGTAGAGAGAAGCAGATATGAAAGCCAGAGTGTGGCCTGTTGGGAGGCAGCAGGGCAAAGTGGAGATGGGAGGCCTTTGCTGTGGAACAGTGGTTTGGGGGCCCAGCTTCATCACTTTGGACCTAAGGCAAGTCACTAAGCCTCTGTCTCCTTATCGATCGATTGAGACAGGGTCTTGCTCTGTTGACCAGGCTCGAGTGCAGTGACGGTCGTGGCTCACTGCAACCTCAAACTCCCAGGCTCAAGCAATCCTCTCGCCTCAGCCTACCGAGTAGCTGCGACTACGGGTGTGCGCCACCACACCCAGCTAATTTTTGTATTTTTTGTAGAGTTGGGGTCTCCCCGTGTTGCTCAGGCTGGTCTCACGCAATCCTCCCACCTCGCTCAGCCCCTCCAAGTGCTGGGGTTCCAGGCATGAGCCCCGCAGCTACCTGTCTCCTCACTTAGGAAGTGGGAGTACTGTCCACCTTGCAGGACTGTCATCAGACCAGACACAGCCGTGCCCAGTGCATAGCACAGTGCCTGCCCGGTGCCCACTGTCCCTGCTCTCGCTTTGCTGGCACTGCGTAGACCACAGCCATCCGCAACCAGCACGCAGGGCCTGTGGATGGAACAAGTCCAGCTGCTCCGCTGACTGGATTTAAGCATCCACGTATTTTTTAAAAAAACATTTTTCTATTATGGTAAAATAAACACAATGTAAAATTGACCATTTTAAGCATGTTTAAGTCTATAGTTCAGTGGCATTAAGCACATTCCCATTGTTGCACAGCCATCGCCACCATCCTTCTCCAGAACTTTCTCATCTTCCCAAACCGAAGCTCTGTCTCCATTAAACACTAACTCCCCAGTCCCCCCACCCCAGCCCTCCATACCCACTATTCCACTTCCTTTTTTGTTTTTATATTTTTTGAAATAGAGATGAGGTCTTGCCATGTTGCCCAGGCGGGTCTCAAAACTCCTAGCCTCATGCCATCCTCCTGTCTGTGCCTCCCGCAGTACTGGGATTCCAGGTGTGAGCCACTGCACGCGGCCCACTTTCTGTCCTGGTTAGACCTTTCCAGGTCCCTCATGTGAGTGAAATCATTACAGGATTTCTCCTTTTGTCACTGGCTTGTTTCTGATCATGTCCTCAAGGTCCATCCAGGCTGCAGCATGTGTGAGAAGCCCTTCCTTTTTAAGGCTGAATATGTGGCGGTGTCTGTACTCGCCATGTCTTATGTGTCTATCCATCGGTGGGTATTGGGCTGCCTCCGCCTCCTGTCTGGTGTGAGTCATGCGGCTGTGAACGGGGTGTGTGGTATCTGCTGGAGACCATGCTCTCCATTCTGATGGTAAATACCTAGCAGTGGAATTGCCGGGTCATTGGTCATTGATTGTGTTTAGTTTTCTGCAGTAGCCGAGCACCCACCTGCTCTGAGTCGAATGTGGATGGTGGGCGTGGCTTGTCCCAGCCTGATCCTCTTGCCCTGTCAACTTACAAGACTTTCCTTTTCTCTAGGAATGGGAATTGAAGAACGGGACATAGGGGACAGCAGGACTGCTCCAGCCTCAGAGACTGCACACCCCCTTGCCCGTGTCCTCATCTGTGTGACGGCAGGAAGCTCTGCCCAGAGTGGCCTCAGCTGCGCGACTCCAGAGGCTTCATGGCCGAACTCTGAGGCCAGCGCCTCTCACCCAGGCCTACTTGCATTCCTTCTACTGTATACTGGCGCCTTTAGAAAAGATGTAAGACTTTGGTCCCCAACTTTGTTAAAAAACAAAAACAGTGATGGAAAGGTGTTTGAAAGGATGCTATCAGGCAAAGTGACATCTTTCTGACCAGTTAAGCCATTGCTTTCACCGATTCCAGCCCAGCCCTGGACTGAGGATGGATGGTTCTGTGAGCCCCCAAGTGAAACCTTTCGACGGGGAAGAGCTTGGATCCTCGGCTGCCCTGGGCATGAGTGTGGCTGGCGCGTGGGCACTGGGCTCGCCTCGCACACCACCAGGAGGGCCAGGGGCTTACACAGCCCTGACGTGGACTCTGTGTCTCGGCATACCCTCCCCACGTGCCCGTCCCCCTTGTCATCAGAGGTAAAGGCATGAGAAAATCACGCTGTGAAACATTTTTTTGCTTTTTATTATTTTTTGGACAGATGCTTTTGTCACCAAGACATGAAAAGCTGCCATTCTTCTTAACCTGTTTTTTAAGAATCTTTTTTGTTGTGTGTCACACTTAGATCTAAGGATTTTTCAGAGGTTCCTTATTTTATTATTTGTGCTACTTTTGACAGGTAGCAGAGGGTTTTAATACTTCACTAACAGTGTGCCCTCCTCCCCCTTGGGCTGGCATCCCCAGCCCTTAGTCCACATCGGAGCCGGCAGGTGCTCCTCCCACCAGGAGCCTCTGGCTGCTTGCCACTGTAGAGGACGTTTACTGCTGCGTGGGGCCAGGGCAGTCCTTTGAAAGGGAAGCAAGTTCTGGAACTTGTTCCCTCATGGAGCTATAACACCTTAGAGCACGAGGCAGGAATTCCAGGGCCTCCTGCCCCTCCCTCTCCCTTCCTCCAGCTTGTCAAGTTAAACCACTAATGCATGGTGGGTCTGGCCGTGCTGCCTCTCCTGAGTGGGGTGGGTGCGGGCAGGGCCCCTGTCCCAGCTTTCTTACTTGCCTTCTGTGCAATACCGCTTGGAGAATTCAGATGCCTAAGGCATAAAGGAAAAAAAGAGTTCGTGGTTTGAGCTGGTATCTACTCCCTGGGTTTAAAAGTCAGATTTAACTTCTTGGTCTCCCGGAGGCCACTGTCAGGAATTCTCTGTTATGGGAAGATGCAGGCACTGATGACAAAATAAGTCGCCCCTGAAAGCCTCCGCAGGCGGATTCACGGAGACCAGTCCCAGCAGCGACCGCCCCTTCCCTGAGCAGAGAATAGAGAGGTGTCACACTTGGTGCAAGCCTTCTGCCCAGTGTCCAGAATGTCCTTTATCACGCAGAGGAAGAGACGGCAGGAAAACACTGACAACGAGTTTCCCCCAGACATGCTATCAGAGCGCCAGCCACGGGACTGTCCGGTTAGGATTCATGTTGAAGGTCGTGGCGCCTGAGGACTGCAGGGGCCACGCTGGATTACTCGAGCGGAAAAGTGGTCTCCCCTGTATAAGAAAGTTTTACGAGAACTGGAAGCTGCTGGAGTCCACCTGAAACTTGAATTGATCGCAGAGCCATCTGCCGGGAGTGTGTTGGGTTCCTGAGCCGTCAGCCGGCGTTCCCCCCCGACGCACGTTCCTCCTGGGTAGTCCGTGGAGGCCCATTACACCAGCATCCGTGATGCCATCTTCCCACTAGGACATCCAGGCAGGTCGGGCGGGGACGCCACAGTCTCAGGGCCGGTCCGCTGCGTTGCCATAGAGGAGCCCTCCTTCCGGTGGGGACTTCCCACCATTGCAGGCAGCTGGGACCAGTTCGTATCACACAAAATGCATTTTCTATAAAGGGGGAAAAGTTGGCTCCTCCAAAAGTTTTTGCTGCGTTCGGGTCAGGTAGTTTCCCTGGTTGAGGCTCTTGGGCCATTCTGATTGGCAGCCTGCTTTGCCGAAGAGAACTGTGCGAGGTTTTGGTGGTTAGGAGGAGAAGCGGGAGATGGCCAGCCTGAAGTCTCAGTCCTGGCCCAGCACGGGTGGGGGGCAGCGGCCAGCCGGCAGGTGAAGCGCGAGCGGCACACGGTGTGTCCCGCGAGCCTGAGCCGTCACCCGCCAGCTTCCTCACCAGGTAAGGAGGCCCCAGAGCCTTAGCAGGGACTTGCCCAAGGGCACAGCTGATTGGTGCTCGACTCCCAGCATGCATATTTTGTTTTAAAAACCCAGGTTTGTAATTCACTGCCACAACCATAAGCCTTTTAAAGAGGAGGCAAACTTTCACGAATCCTATTGTGGTCCATGGAGCCTTTCAAAATGGGTGCCCTGGAAGGGGGCCCTGACATTGGATTCCCTCGATGCCAGATACTCCCTTGAAATTTCGCATTTGATCAGAAAGTTTAAAGCATTTACTTCAGAATAAGTTATTTATTTGTATATGTTCAATAAATAGTTTTTAATTTATATCTGTACATATTAGACACACACGAGCCATCTTGCCAGAATTCTGACAGTGATCTCATTTTATCACCCTCCCAAAACATGCCCCAGGAACAAGCACCCCTTGCCTCTGTGGCAGCTGCGTGTGTCTGATTTCATAATGAAGCCAGGCTGTGGGGGCAAGAGGCCCGACAGGCAGGGCAGGGTCCCCGGAGAAGCCAGAATAAGGGGTGCAGAGGCCCGACAGGCAGGCCAGGGTCCCCGGAGAAGCCAGGATGAGGGGTGCAGAGGCCCAACAGGCAGGCCATGGCTCCCTCTTCCCAGAATCTGGGGGGAACTAGGGCAAGGCCCATCTGTCTGCAAGGCCGGTAGCTCCCTCCCTCGGCTTCCAGAGTCCACAGCCGGTGCAAGGTAACCAGTGTGGGTCTGCTGAGTCACCCCAGGCACCAGACTTGACCCAGGAGCACGGGCCACTGTCCATGGGGCCTTCCTTGAGACCTTCCCTTGGGGCTGGCAGGTGGCCATTTACCAGCTGGGTCAGTCCCGTCTTGCCCTCTGTGCCTGTGCCCTGGTGTGGCCAGGCCTAACCTTCCCCTGTATCTTACTCGTCCCAAAGTCATTATTGGCCATTTCTAAATAGACAAAGCTACCCTAAAAGGTGGAGATTTACTCCTTTTGAAAAGTCCGTTTCAAAAAGTATGTCCTCAGCTCTGGAGGCCACCCCCAGGAAGGAGTTTGAGATTCATTATCATTATGGCCACAATTTGGCGCTTGTGCACGGGATTCAAAGGGCAGTGTTGAAGCCAGGGTTAGGTATAGGGTTGTGGGCAAAGCTCCCTTGTTTGTGGCCACCCCTTACCTTTCCAAAGAGGCTGTTAACTCTACTCACCCACTATTTGGGGGGATGTAAATTTTGCCCACAGACTTTGCTACCCAGGTGAGGTGCTCTGTTCATGCACCAAACTCATGTCATTTGACACCATCCAAGGATGGGTAGCCTGTCGTGTGGCCGGTGACCCGCACCTAGAGAAAAGGCACCTCATGCCGCAGGGAAGGGCCGACACCCTGAGCTCACAGGTGGCCCCTGCAGTCAGGTGGATGTCCATCCTTGAAACAGCCACTTCTGGGAGCACAGCACTGGAGGTCTCAGGCGTCAGGGTTGCCTGGCAGGGCGCCCTGCAGCTTACATAAAGGTCGTGGCAATACTTCAATGTTAAATTATTGCCTTCCTCTTACTAAAATAATTTTCTAATGGGAACGGTAACTTCAAGTTCATGACATAGTTTGAAGGAGGATAATTCATTTTTTCCTGGTTGTCACTGTCTTGTCCCCATGATGGGCTGGGTTCATACTGTGAAATAAACTGAAGTGAAACCAAAACATTCATGCCGTAAACACATGGCACAGCACCGTGGAAAAAGCAAAGCCACCTCTATTCGTGAGTCCCCAAGCCATAGCAGGCCACTCCATCGTCTGTAAAGGGAAGGAAACTGCGCCTGGGAAGTGGTGGGCTTCAGACGCATCCTTTTGCCCACAGTTCATGAAATAGTTCCAGCTTTGGTCTTCCAAAAAATCTCAACTTCACCGTGCACAAGTGTTACCCAGTCTTTTTAGTGTAGCCATGGAAGATACTTTCAAAAGGAGATCTTCAGATCATAATTCTTAGGGACCAAAGGTGTTTTTAATGAGATAATCTTTTTGATTTTCTAACAAGAAAGGAAATATTCACTTTAAATTTTAACATCAACTTTTAAATGATACTCAGAATTAATTGACCATGGTGATAGGTTGTAAAATGTTTTCATATTAAGAATGTAATTATTTCCTTATTGTATTTTTTAAAAGCTAAAGTCATATTTAAAATTCTCTGTGAAAGAAACAGGCAAAGAAACAGCAAAGATTTTTTTTAAATTAAATATGTTGGTAGTGCCCATTTTAAATGACTGTAAATATATTTTCACTGTTATTCAATGTATTTAATTCATAAAGTAAAAATTTTATGAAAAGCAACTTGCAAGGAAAATCCTAGTTTTCAGTCCACTCGCCCCGTTTTGTAGCAGCTTCACTGAATTCCCTGCTTTCCTGGTTGATTTTTCTACTGTTTCACGTGGTGTAACCCTAGACTGGCGCCCTTGGCGTGCACCTTTGTGTATGAATAAACTTCTCTCCGCGAGCCCCGGTGTCTTGACTGCCCTTGGTGTGTGCTGCAGACTGAGAAGTGGCTGCATTTCCTGAAGTCCTTGCTGTCAGGTGGGTGAGGGGGGGGGGTCTCTCGCTGGCCTTGGGCCACCTACGGAGGGGAGAGGGGTCAGGAGTGACACGTGGAGGGAGGAAGTAGGCAGATGAAAGAACCGTGGTTTGTATTAAAAAGTAGTTTTGAGTCCACAGACCTGAACGTCCAGTTCAAGAGACGTTTTGTGCACCCATGGTGAGGCCGACTCTGTACCAGGTGCTGGAACTAGAAATGGGTCAGCTACAACTCCTGCCCTCAGGGAGCTTGCTCTGGGCAAGACGATACGGAAAGAGATCCTGGGTGTGTCTTTTGTGCAGAGGACTGTATGAAGATTTCTGGAATCACAGAGCTGCTAAGTTTGAGGCTGTTGGGTAGGGTTTTTACAAAGGAGTGGGGGTTATTGGAGCTAGGCTGTTGTGTTTAAATAGGAGTTCTGCAAGAAGAGAAGTCATTTTCCAAGCACCCTCGGCCTGCCCTTTGACGCTGTGAGCAGCGTGTCCTCCCAGGCAGCGTCCAAGAAGGCTGAGCATCCCCTGCTGCACTGTTAATTATTTTGTGGTGGGCGGTTCGTCATGCGGGCAGAGTCCGGTTAAAGCTTTTAATAGGCCATTTTTAAAGTAACGATCCTTGCTGGCTTTTGAATAGAGGCCGTGCCCTGGTAGGCTGCCAAATGGAAAGGAAGGGCCTCTAATTTCCTTTCAAACTTAGCGAGAGGACACTGGGACTCCTGGCTTTGCTTTTTAACACCATGGAGAGTGCTCAGGGATATCCATGTGAGTTATAAGTTCGGAAGCAGGCGACACGAAGCCTCGAGAACATAAATCAGGAGCCCGGCTCCTTAACGGGAAGCAGGGAAAACATGACCTGACGTCTGTGATTCAGAAATTTTATGATGGAAACTTCATCTGTTTTATGAGGCTGTTAAAAGTGGCTCTCCCTTCCTACAAAGGGACCGATCGGAAAGTAGGGCAGGAGACCTGGCAGGGTTGAAGGAAGGGGTCAGGCGTACCCACCTCCTGCACAGGGGGCGGAGACGGGGGCACGTTCGACCCTGCCCTGCACTCGGAGGGTCTAGTGCATCTGGAACCCTCCCTGAGGGCAGGGTCTCCTCACAGCTGAGCTACTGCCCCCCTTTCTTGGGGCATCGACCTCTCTGCCTCGGAGGGCTGCCCATAACATCGATTTTTCCTGATGCTCTAACATTGGACACCTTGCTGACCCTGGAGGGACGGCCCTCCCAGGGCTGGCCAATTCCTAGACGTAGTGACCCCTACCCTGGAACACACCTTATTCAAAACCCAGGCAGTCTAGAGCCACACCTGCCCACCTCACTAAGGGGGGCTTGGGGCTCTCACTCTGCAGCCAACTACACCCTGGCCCTAATCAGCCCAGGGCCAGGCAACAGACCACAAGACACAGCCAATGCCAGGAGCCCACAGAAGTGATTCAGGCTACTCAGCCCCAAGCCCTCTTCCCTGGCCTCAGCTGTTCCTTCCTGCAGAAACCACAGCAAAGGTTCCTGGCTTTGCCCACGCTTTCCCCTTGCTCCCTCGGCCTCTCAGCTGGCCTGCACTTCCCTGTGTGGCCTGGCATGGCCTGGTGTGGTGTGGTATGGCATGGCATGGCCAGTCCTCCTGAGAACCTTCACAGACTAGCTTGTCAGCGACTGTAGGGCCTCGCCATACCTGAAGGTTATTTGAACGGATGTTTCCAAATACCCCAGTCCTGTGGAAAGGGCACAGACCTTGGCACCAGCCTGTCCCAGGCCTACATCCTGCCTGCTTTCCCACAGGACAGATAATGACACTCACAGGCTGTTCTGAGAATTCAGGGAGCTGTGTGAAATACCCAAAATGAGCCTGGCCCCGACAGGCAGGTGGAAGTCACCCCACGAGGGATGTGGCCTGGCTCCTCGGCGCAGTCCCCAAAGACACTGGGATGACAGTCCTGCCGCCACCCTGCTCTCAGGCACAGCGCTCGGGGCCTTCCTGAGTGTGCACAGGCCAAGCTAACCTTCTGGCCCTCGGGTCAGATCCTAAGTCGCAGCAGGAGGGCAGCACACAGCCGGCTGCCCTCATTTTTCAAACGAGACCCCAGGGAAAGTGACTACCTCAGAGCAAGACCAAGAATGAGCGCGGCTGCCTCTTCCCACTGCCCCACTCCTCCCAGGGCAGCTTCGTGCAGGACCTACTGCCCGGGACAGCTGCGACAGACAAGTTTGACAGCAAAGAGCAGGCAGAAAGCTGATGGGGCCTGCTGTGGAAAGCAGCAGAGCCACCGATGCCGTGGGTGCCGCGGCCCCTGGGGTCACCGGGCTCCCTCCCTCCACAGGTCCTGACCTGCCAGCCCCAGAAGAGGGAGCAGCTGGGGCAGCAGGTGCTGCATTTTGCTGTTATAGTTTTAGGCCCTGACATTATTCTGAAAATCACTACACAAATTATTCCCAAGCCCCTTCTCTCTGTCAGGCCCTAGAACACAAAAATGAATTCCACCTGCTCTGCCCTTGAGTTCACAGCCAGGCAATGGCCATTTAGAGCGAGAGAGCACATTTATTCACTCAGCAAACATTTACGGAGCACCTTCTCTGTGCTGAGAACGTTCTAGTGTGATCGTCACACGTGTAAAACAGCGCTCTGGCTGCTGCTCCCCAGAGGAGGTGCAGGAAGTCAGCGCGGCCCAGGCACCCCCCCAGGCAGAGCCCCCGCTCTCCCAGCCCCTACCCTCTGACACCCTGAGCATGGCTTCCCAACCCCAACTCCTGGACCCCCACCCCGCCCGCCGCCAGGACGGTCTCATGCATTCCCAGGACTTCACTGTGGCTTCTGCCGAACCACGCAGGGGACGGAGCCCATCCAGAGCCACGCACCAATTGCCCCTTCCCAGGAAGGTGACTGCAGGGCGCAGCTCCTCCTCCAAGCCCTGAGGCTGAGCTGGGAAGCAGCCCTGGGCTGTGAAAGCCTGAGCTTCCATCAGGGCGCTGCCCAACACGAGGGAAGGCGTTTGGGAACTGGGGTGGCTGCTGAAGGCCGGAAGCCAAGGCTGTGGGCAGGGGGCAGAGAGAGAGCAGGAGCCGGCGAAGCAGGGGTGAGGCCTGCAGGGTGGGCATAAGCCGGCCTGGGATGGGAGCTGCTGTGGGGCCTGGGCTGTTGACTTTGGTGGGTTTTCCCAACTCCCAGGTATAACCTCAAAGTTTCAAAACCTTATTCTTAGGCGCAACCCAAGAAGTCCAGTGAGGCCAGGCTCTGGCTCGTGTTCACCCAGACCTCTCTCTTCCTTCACCCCAAGCATCTGCAGGCGCCCTCCACAGAGCTCATCAGGAGTCCCCTCCCCTCGCGACTGCCCAATGCAGAACTCCCCATCGACCTGCCCCTCCAGCCCCCACCCTGCTGCCCCGGCTGGCCTCGCTGCCACCCCTAGCCAGGCCCTGGCCACCTGAGAATCAGCCTTCAACGTCCTCTCCCTCAGCACAGTCGGCCGCGTCCCACTCAGCCTGCCTCCTCCTCATCTCTGGCCTCTGTCCACTCCCATCCCCACCGCCATTCCCGGGTTCAGGCTCCTGGTCCCCCTACCCACCTCACTGCCCCAGTCTCTCCAGGGTGACCCAGCCTCGCAGGGAAGCCCATGGCCGTTTCTAAAACACAAATCTAACCATGTTCCTGGCATGCCCCGCACTCCTGGGAATGAGGGCCATGTCCGCAGCTGCATTCACCAGCCCAGCTTTACCTCCCTCCTTCCACCCTCCATACCTGCCTCTCCTCCTGTCTTACGTCTGTCAGCAGATCTAGACGCCTTGGGGACGGTTCTGGCGCTACCAGCCCTGTGCCTCCCCAGAGAGGTGTCTGGGCCTTTACAGTGGGTGGGACTCACTGTGCTGTGCGGACCCACTGCTCCCAGGGCGCCCCTGGGCCTTTGCATCCCACCTTAATGAGGCACCTTGGGGACGACCAGACCAGGTGGTCCTCCATGTTAAAGAAACAGTGGAAAGAGTGACACTGCCCCTCCCAACCTCCTCACCTTCCTCTTGGGCCTGACAGTTTTCCTGCCCAGGGCCCTGCGCAGAGCAGCTCCCCTCCTGCACTGTCTCGGAGCTCTCCGAACACTGCCCGTGAGACGGGGACAATGCACCTGGTTGGTATTACCCTCGGGGGATGCATTGCCAGGATTCACTGTGTGTCCCCTTCCTTTTTCCCTTTGACCAAGAATCAGCCGGGACAGCCCTGCTTCCCAGGTGTGCTGCGCAACTGCCTGCCCCGATTCCTCCTGCGTTAGCTTGTTTTCACGCTGCTGATAAAGGCATACCCCAGACGGGGAAGAAAATAAAGGTTTAACTGGACTTACAGTTCCACATGGCTGGGGAGGCCTCAGAATCGTGGCGGGAGGCGAGACACACGTTCTATATGGCAGCAGCAAGAGAAAATGAGGAAGAAGCAAAAGTGGGAACCCTTGATAAACCCTCCAGATATCGTGAGACTTATTCACTATCATGAGAGCGACGGGAAAGACCAGCCCCCATGATTCAATCACCTCCCCCTGGGTCCCTCCCACAGTGCATGGGAATTCTGGGAGATATAATTCAAGTTGAGATTTGGATGGGGACACAGCCAAACCGTATCACCGCCTTCCCTGCACAGGTGCGTGTTCCCAGGCTGCTCTCCCTGCACAGGTGTGTGTCCCAACGCCCATCTCCCTGCACAGGTGTGTGTTCTGATGCTGCTCTCCCTGCACAGGTGTGTGTCCCAACGCCAATCTCCCTGCACAGGTGTGTGTTCTGATGCTTCTCTCCCTGCACAGGTCTGCTTCTTCTGCAATCAATATGCACGATGCTTTCAGGTCCTATCGCTCTGGATGAATCCATCAGGAAAACCCTTCCCTTGCACTTTTCCTATGATATTACCCCTGGTTTTAAGCCTGTGTCACATTCCCAGAGACTGGGAGCTCTT